TGTCTTCTGAATAAAAGAAGGAAAAAAATCTTTGAATGGCACATTCAGTCTTTTAAAACTGTGCTTTTTTCCATTAAATATTTGGTTCAGTGAAAAATGTTTTCATTGATTATTTCTGAATAATCGGTCAGTTTCATGCAGGCTGAGCATGAAAATAGTCTCCTACACCTATGTCCTGCATTAGCTTCTGATAGAAAATAGACGATGAAACTAGGATTAGAAAAGCCTGACAGATCTACGTCAAACTGTCACTTAATGTTCATGGACTCACCCATCTTGACCTGATCTGACAATCTTCTAGACTCTGAAATAGGTGCACCAGGACTTTTTGTACCCAGAGTACAACTTACAAGGCATTCATTCCTAACTAGAGACCACTGCAAAAATATTATTTATACAAGTGAACCACACTTAACATCTTAAAGTATAAAGAAATGCATAACAAAGGTCATCTTTTCTATGGCTACATTTGTAATCCTTTTCCTAAACTCAGGAAAAGCTATGGTTAGTACTTTCTACCAAATGGTATTCTGTTCAAATAAACACCATTATGACCTAATTAACAGAAGAAAATAGGTCAGCAGGGGAAAAGGGACAAGATCATTTTAAAATGTACAGTTTATTTAACCAGATGGAATAACCGGAAGGAAATTGATGGCTGAATGGATACAATGATTCATAACACTAAAACTTTAAAGGTTTTCTTGAACTAAATTATAAAATCGGGATAGATGAATGTTTGTATGGGTTTAACTTAAACATAATTTTGACAGAAATCCTATTTTAAACTAAAAGATTGGAAATTTTCATAAAAAGCCCCATAAAATACTAAAAAAAAGTGTAATAACACGATGTATAAATGTTTTTTCCCACTAAATTATAACATGTGTATACATGCATGTTTGTATTGGTTTAACTTAATGAAAATTTTGATAGAAATCCCCATTTAGATCAGAAAACATTTTAATGTATACAAAGGCCCCACGACGGAGTAAAAAACGTGTGTGTAAAGTGGACCTCACAAAGCTGGAATGTAAGAAACCGGGCCCCATAACTAGCTAAAATCCTTTTTTATAAAAAGTTTAAAGTTTTGCTTATTGAAAGTGATTTTTGGCATCAAGATTTTTTTTGGGACTTGCCTGATTTTTTTCAGCGTTCTAGTACCACTAGAAGGGTTGGACCCTGCAACTGGGGGAAAAAAGTTCGGGCCCCACATGCGAGTTACGCTATAATGTGTGTGTGTGTGTGTGTGTGTGTGTGTGTGTGTGTGTGTGTGTGTGTGTCTGCTCTGTCTTCTCAATCCCCAGTGAGTTGTGATGGATGGTTGCTTATACAGATCCAAGATCCTCTGGAGGTTTCCTCCTGTTAAAAGGGAGTTTTCCTCCTTACTGTCACTAAATGCTTGCTTAGTATGAGGATTGCTGTGACTTGATGCAATTTGCTGGGTTCCTTATATAGGAAACTTTTGTTCTGATTGGCTTAATGAACTGACCTGTATGTTTATTATGTGAAGTGCCTTGAGACGACTCTTGTTGTGATTTGGTGCTATATAAATAAACTTGAATTGAAAATGCCCAAATGCATGTCATTAAACCAGACATGGAGAAGAGGAGAGGAAAAATGGCTGTAAGTTCAGCTGTAAGTAGCAGCTATGCTAGGTGAGAGAGGATTCTGTGGTGACGTCATATATATGTAACATGCCAACGACTGATTTTTAGTCATAGGAATTACAAATTTTTTACAAGCTGATAAATCTCAAAGTATGGCAGTTGTGGTCAAAACACACATCATTACAGTTCATTTAATTTAAAGTACAACACACGTGTGATCTAGGACGTAAGGCAAAGCGGATTAGGAAATAACTCTTTTAGCTCCACTGACTTGCATTCATTTTTCCATTCTTCCGGGGACCCATGACCGACTGGAAAAGGAGAAGCCTTAGGCTCGCTTTAGCAGCAGCTAATTGTTGTATACCGCTCTTTGCATATGATAGAATCTCCAAATTTAGTTTGCTCTGACTGCTGTCTACTCACTCCATACAACCCCACTTCACAAATCATTCACTATCCCATGATGGTCGTTCTTTCATTGCCTTTGAGATGTGATGACAGATACTGATTCAACATATTCATGAAATATACGGGCCTCTTGGAAAGCTTTTATCCACAAAAGTTCTGTAGCTGTTGTCCAAGAAAAACAAAGTCAGATTTGAAAATGTATCTGCTGTTATAAAGTGTTGTATTCCACCACTTACATTCAATGAAGTACGAAATACCAAGAATCAAAGCAAAGCTTGATGTTAACAAAAAACGTTATCATCTATATTTCTATGACTTGCTCTTCTTTGGGAAATTAGTTAGAGTTCTTTTTTTTCTTGACTCTTGCTGGCTTGATTCTTGGTGTTTGCATTACCCAGGCTACACATGTTACTGTACTGATTTGTCTGTTATGACCATTGATTTCTGTCTTGTTTTTTATCTTTTCACATGCTTTCTTTAAACTGTCCACAAACTTTACAACGGCCTTCTCTTATCGACTTTGCCCTGCCCCCTTCTCTCTCTTTCGTCCCCCTCGACTACTGTGATTCCGCCCAATCAAAATGCACTATGAATCCTCTGTGCCCACCTGTGACAACTGGCTTGGTCTATCTGTCTGGTTGTTCTTCAAACCAACCAAAAATCCCCAAAATTTGCCGCTATAAACCATATCTGCAACATCCACATGTAGATGGTTTGTAATTTTTTGGAGATCTTATTTTGCTGCATGTGTTTTGTCTGCATTTTGAGTGTTTTATGGCTGCATGCAGTGTTTTAATCCATTCCCCCTTTACAGTCGCATATCCTTTACTAACAAACGCTCTGTTTGTAAAGGATTAGACTCTAAACACTGTTATAGACTGCAACATCTACCCATTGAAATTAGTCTTTTCATTTTACAAGCTTACAATGTACACATACTCGCCCACACACATGAAAGTGACTGGTAGAGTTACTCTGCCAACAACAGTGAATCCAAGGCTTTGCTTCTGGCAGAGAGAACGAGTGATGCATGATAACCCTTGCATGTCTTTGGCAGAAGCCCTTTGTTTTTACAACACATACATAAGAGTGCACACACACACACACACACACACACACACACACACACACACACACACACACACACACACACACACAAACAGAGAACAATGCAGTACAGTAAATAAAGCCAGCATGTTGTGTAGCCAGATCCTTTTTTAGTTTCAAACTGCATTATTTTGTTCTTTACAGTAATAAATAGCAGAAGAATACACATTGTAGGCTCAGGGGCTCTTTACACAGGATTAAGACCTTATCATGTACTTCTTGACCTATTAAACTTATTAGACATGGCTTCTACAGTTCAAAGGCAATCGTGGTGCTGCTACCCTGAGGACTTACCAAATAGGCTTTTCCCAGCTATTTCTCACACCCTTGAAACAACCCCTTACACCCTAGCCATGTTCTTTGTGTAAACAGCATGTCCACATAACATTTCCATTACTTATGCCTATGATGTCCCTGGGCCCCATCCTGGCACAACTTTCTTGGACCACATCAGGATGCACATACCCACAAGACGTTTACACCACCCTAGGTCTACGCTGATGGCATGTTAGGATTATGGCCTTGAGAAGAGGCAAGTGTGTCCAACAATCCTTCACACTCTCAATGACCAACCTATTCCAATCATTGCTGGCTTCACGTAAACGAAATAACGCTCCTCCCAAAACGGCAATATGCTACTTCCACAATAAATCACCACAACCTGCCCATGGAAGCTTTGTACAGTTTCATTGCTAAAAGACTGTGCCGTACTAGCTCAACACTTGTGGCAGGATAACGCTGTAGCCCAGGCATGAGGCCATTGTGGCCAGTCCTACTTGACATCCTCAGTGCCCTACCATGGCATGACTTAAATGTCAAATGCAGCTATGCACTAGAAGATTGCACTGCAAAAGCAAGATGCTGATTGCATGCTGGGTTTGTATCCATCATGGTTAGTACTGCTTCGAATTCAGATCATGCAAACAACGTCATGGATACGCTGCCAGTACACCTTAACCAAGACCTTGATATGCTGCCACTCAAATAGCAAAACACCTGTGACTTTTGTGCATGCCTAAAACCATCGTTGGCCTATCAGGTGGAACAAGGAGGCCACTGTGTTCCGAATATGCACCTGAAACCCTCCCCACAGCCCTGCAAAAACAAATGTTTTACATTGTAAACGGTCATCACTCAGTGTAAAGGGCCCTTAGATGTTCAAGAAGAAGCCAGATACAAGTAACACGATTAAATATCACCTTCTGAAATCTTTTACATTTTGGTTTTAAGATCCCTGAAAATGTGAAAAACCTGAAAACTGACCAGAGCGTGCAACTTTTGTTGATGCTCTTGATGATCTTGACATCGCTACAGTGTGCTATGTGTCCTACTATTGCATGAGTGTCTGCTAAAGTTGCCTTGTACTTGTTTGCATCTGCATGACATGAGCTTGGTGTGTTTCAGAAAACTGCATCTTTGCCTTGAGAGAATTAGTGCATTTGGTTGTCTTTCAAGAAAATGTCCTGAGAGTCCTGCACTCCCAACTATTCACCTTTTGTAGCACAATACTAATCAAATCCCCTGATTGGATGAAACTACATAGAACTGAATGTTTCCCCCTGTGTTGCATCGTTTGGTTTTTGTATGACTTACTGGATATGAAAAAGCTTGTTGGAGCCTTGCTGACTTGAGTATGATTGGCTTTGACTTGTTTGACTCTTGATTATTTCATTTCTACTGACTTTGAGTCTCTCTTCATTTATGTTTTTAGGTACATTTTTACACAGAATTAGAGTAGCTCTAACTACTTTTATTGTATTCTTCCTCAAATCTTCATCTCCTCTTTCTGTCACCATCTTCTGCTATTTACCCCCCTCCTATTTTCAACAACCCCCATCCGTCTCAATCCCTGGTCATGATGTGCCTGTGCTCTAGGATAATTTCATCAACCTAAGTTTCCTGAGGCTGTTCAGGGCAGCTCGTCTCATCAAGCTGCTGAGGCAGGGAGAAACCATCCGCATCCTGCTCTGGACCTTTGTTCAGTCTTTCAAGGTTTACACCCTTTTTTACAGCATAACATGCATTCACATGTGCAAATGTAGCGTACACACAGAGCCTTTTAAATGCTGTGTTGGCTTAATAACAAACAATTAATGCATCTCTCCTCAGGCGCTGCCTTATGTCTGCCTTCTCATTGCCATGCTGTTTTTCATCTACGCTATTATCGGGATGCAGGTGGGTGAGAAACTCAACCTCACATTTCCTACCGTGCTTCCAGGATGCATTAAATAGCTTTTTATAGTATGAAAATGTTATGAGATGAAAGAGACTGTAGAGAAAGTGCAGGATGGGAAGAAACGCAAGTTGATGGGAATGGAGCCAGCAGCATTAAGCAGCATGTGTTAAATTAATTACATTTATTTTGGACATCTTGAAGTGTGTTTCTGTGTGAAAGTTATATATAATTACTGGTTTGTCCAGTGTACGTAGCTGTCTGAATAGCCTTTATGTCTAGAAACTGATTTTTTACGACTGATGAGCTAACGGCGGTTCCAAACTAGCCAAGACTACAGAAACAGCTGTTTTACAACACTTTACCATATCTTTGTTACATTACGTTATTATTAAAGCAGAAATAGTGGAATTGATCACTGAATGTACCAAAGGTTCTGGGTTTTGTTGCTCCTGATGATAGTCAGACATGTAAATAACCATGTAGGTCTGCTTGATAGGGGCAAAAGTCACAGTCACAAATAATTTAATCAATTTTCACATCAGTTTTAAAGAGAAACTATGCAGTTTTAGCCCACTTTTAGAACCCCTCAGAGTCTGTTATTAATTCACAGTTGCAAAAAGCAAAAGTGAGACGTATGTGCTCGCTGTGCGTTTGTCTTTTTAATCTAACAGTTGAAACGTCTTCCCAGTTTTCATTAGTGTCTGTAGGAGCGGTTCATCCCTAAATCAAACAAATCAGATGTGTTCATGGTCTAAAATATGCATGAAACATGATAGAATCAGACTTAACACATAGTGGCCCGCCAACTCTGAAGGGTCATCTTAGCACACTGGCTCAAGAAAATTATTTAAAAATATGAACAGGCTGCATAGTATGCCTTTACCACGGTTATTTACTGAGTGGTGAAATACTCTCCAGAGCTCGCATGTTATGGTGGGGAGCCAAGAGGAGGTTGTGACCCAAAGATGCAGAAAAACCAGATGACGCTTGGTGGAGAAATAAAGTAAAAATCCTGTTATTTAACAATAAGTCCTAAAAAGGCAGGGAGCCAAAAAAAAAAAATCAAAAGTCCCAAATAACAAAAACCTAGAATATCCAAAACGAAGCTCCAAGACTAGAACGAGGTAAAGGTGACACAAGACAATGACCCAACAACAGACAGAGACGCAGACAGGGTTATATACACTGGGGCATGATGTGAGACAGATAGGCTGCAGGTGTGTGGGGAGAGAAACCTAGTGAAAGCAATTAACTAATCAGGGAGGAAACTAACATGACCTAAGAGAAAAAACCTAAGGACAAGAAAGGCCAGCAAAAATAACTAATATTCTAAGGGGGAAGAAAACTACAAAAACCTGTGGGAAAACACACTAAAGAGACTAATAAAACGAAAAGCTGAACCTATAAAAAACTGCAGAGGGGTGACTGGGGGAGACCAAAGGGACACAGGACCTGGGAGGGATAATCTGGAGGGCTGCAGACCAGGAGACACATGAGGAACACAAAGAGCCACATTAGGGGATTCTTAGAGGGGAATCGAGCACACAAGGAGATACATGAGGGAGACGCAGACCATGACACTCACATGTTATGAAAATAGCAGCCACCAATTTAGGCAATTAGGTGATGGAGTTGCACTGTTGTGGAAATTTAAACCAAAGTACTGTTATTATTCTAGAATAGATTTCATAAATAACATTCTTGTTGTATCAGAAATATATCAATCTATTCAGAAAGCTATCTATGGGTAACAGAAAATATTTTAGATTTTTACACAGAAACTTTTCAAAATGGCAGATAAATCAGCTCACTGTGTTTTATTTGTATGACCTGTTTGACAGCTGTTTGGAAATATTGCAATAGAAGAAGATGGAGAGAGCGCCATTAACCAGCACAACAACTTCAGGACCTTTGTGCAAGCTCTGATGCTTCTTTTTAGGTACTCTTTTTTTATTTATTTTTTACCTTATATACTTCAGGAGGATAAAGGAACCCTTAAACTATCTATGTATTAAGCACCGTTACTCTACACAGATGTTTAATTTCTGCAAGACTTCAGGGGTACCTGATGTGGCAGAACTGATATAAATGTCTTTATGGAAATTTGAAGGAGCGCGACAGGAGAGGCGTGGCATGAGATCATGCTGGCATGTCTGGGGAATAAGGAGTGTGACCCCCTATCAGGGAATACAGATAAAGAATGTGGCAGCCAGGTTGCCTACCTCTACTTTGTCTCCTTCATCTTCTTCTGTTCATTTTTGGTGAGCATCACAGTTCATGCCCGGGCTCTAACCAGCATAAAACCAAACAAAATAGGGTGTTTAACGTTTCTATCTTTTGCACGCGTACACATGCAGATGCTGAATCTGTTTGTAGCAGTCATCATGGACAACTTTGAGTACCTGACTAGAGATTCATCAATCCTGGGACCTCATCACCTGGATGAATATGTAAGGATATGGGCCGAGTATGATCCAGCTGCCTGGTGAGTCACAACATCCACACTCAGCTGCATAAATTTACGCAAATCTAAAGAAAGAAGAAAGGATTGGAAATATTTGCATTTGTAATCTTAAAGCTGCGGTAGCAAATTTGCCAAACAAGCTAACTTTTAAACAAACATGGTAACCGAACGCCTACCCTTCTCGTTACCTATCATCCCTAGGCCACGCCCACTGGATATCCAAACCCGCATAGGGAGCCTAAGTCACCCATCTACTTCTGGACCATGGGTCCCCAGAAGAACGAAAAACTGAATGAACGGAAAGGGAGACTTAGAATATGTTCACACTGTAGGCAAAAGCGCATCAAATCAAAATTTTTTCCCCACATGTGACCAGTGTTGGGAATAACGCCATTTAAATTAACGGCGTTAGTAACGGCATTCTTTTTTGGGTAACGGAATAATCTAATTAATTACTTTTCCCACTGTTGCAACGCCGTTACCGTTACTGGGGACGGAAGGTTGTGCGTTACTATGTGCTTGTCGAACGTTGAGCAACAGTGTGAGGCTTTCTGACCGCCACACTTCAGCTGCAGCCAGGGAGAGAGAGGTGTCGGTAACGCACTTACAAACACGATGATGATTGTTGGCCGGGTGGGCGGAGACCCTCACCGTCTCAATCACTGCATGCTGTAGACACAACAGAGCAGTGATGGGAATAGCGCCGTTTAAAATAACCGTGTTACTAAAAAAAATTTCTTTCAGTAACGAGCAAACTAATTAATTACCGTCTTCTTTTAACAAAACGTCGTTTCTGTTACTGATAAGGAAATGCGTGCGTTAAGCAGCGCGGTGTGTTGAAGCTGTCATCAGCTGATCAGGAGCTAAAGAGGTAGATGTTTTCATCCAAGCGCATCACGGCCGTGAAGAACGAGGACGACGTGATGAATAGTCTACGGCTGCAGGTGTGGATCTGCAGCCGTGCCCTTCTTAGTGTGACAGCGGGACGTCCTGAAGGTCCGCTCACCTGTTCACCGCTCAGACGTCCTGATCTTCTACCTTCCTAGATCATCCAGCTGTAACCTGTTTCTGATCATGTCTTTAGTCCCGCTGTAACACTGATGCATCAGTCTCACACGTCATGGAGCTCAGGTGTTATTAGAACTACCTGTGTGTGTGTGTTTACCACCCAGCTTCAGCTCTTCTGTGGTTGGGTCTGACCCAAGTTAGTAAATGTAAGTCCTCCATCAGGCTTGTGCCTCTTGTCATTTTAAAGGATTTTATTTATTTATTTATTTAACCATTACTAGATTAGCAGCAACAGAAATGCTACTAATAACACACAATTATGTGAAGCTGGAAAAATTAAAATACTGTGCAAAATTACATTCATTTCTGTAATTTAACTAGACTGAGAGACCATTTAAAGGCTCGGGAACATTTACAGGTGTTTCTGTTTGCAATTTAAAATTTTGACTGATTGGGGTCTTGTTAAATATCACACAGTGACCTTTTAATAGTCTAGATAAGTGTAATGTTCCTGTTAGTAGTTTCTCCTGTTAAGTGCTTATTTATTTAAATTATTCAGATTTATGAAAAAAACATTTTGACATGCATTTTATTATGTTCCAGTCATTAGTCATTTATATTTCACCATTGTAGTAATTTATGGTAAATTAAGTAAGTTCAATTAACCCATTTTTCTTGCATTCTTTAATGAAAAAAGAAACCAAGTATTTATTTTTCTTGGTAATTACTTTATAATCTCGTAACTCAGTTAGTAGCTGAGTTACTTTTTTGACAAAGTAATTAGTAACTATAACTAATTACTTTTTTAAAGTAACTTTCCCAACACTGCATGTGACCCATATCTGATTTTCTTATGACAGTCTGAACGGCACAGATCCAATTTTTTCGAATTTGACCCAAGTCACTTTCATATGTGGCACTGATTCTGATGCATGTCTGATGTTTCTGAAAGCAACTGCAGTCTGAACGGTCATGTCGCAAAAAAATCCGCCTTCTACATCACTGAGTCAGCAGAGGTGAGCGTCGTGTGCTAACGTTCCTGAGGAGAAGTGCTGATAGAAGGGTTCAGGAGTCTGTCTGGACATCCAGTTTAGTTAAGGAATTAAAAATAGAGAAAAGCACGAGAACGGGAGCAGGAGGTGCTGCTGGAGCGAAGCATCTCATCAGTCTCGGTCTCCATGAGAGCGGGGGGTTCTCTGTGATCAACTTAATACCGGAACGTTTTCAGTAAATAATAATACAGGGAGATGGCGGGAACAAGGAGTAAAATAGTTTACAGTTTTTAAAACGGAAGACTTGACAGGTGTGATCCTGATCCTGTGGATAAGCATCACAACTCTGCCTCTCGGTTACGACTCCACTGAGTGTGACTTCTTGTCTTCTGCGTGAACGCGCGTCGCTTTGGGGCCGTGAAGAGTTCACACTGGAGAGATTTTGATGTCATAATGTGACCAGCCGCACACAAAAATTTTTTTTTGAAGAGACAATGTGGAGTTTTTACCTTTAATCTCTGGAAATATCCATCCAAATGTTTTTGAAAATGAATTAAATGATGTAGAGTTGTTGAAAAATATTGGCAACTTTACCACAAAAATCAGGTATAAAATACATGGCAGTGGGTCTAAGTCTGATGTGCTTGTCATTTTGCTGGAGGTTGAACGATCTGACAAAATAGTCGCTAGAAAATTGCGCTCTCCAAAATTTTTGACACTAATGGACATCCGTTCTTACTCAAACACAAAAATACCACTTGCTTGCAATGATTTAGGTATGTACTGCCCCTGTCGCCAGGGAAGTTACACACAAGTTAGCTTGTTTTGCCAATTTGCTATTGTAGCTCTAACAATTGCATTTTAATAACACACAGAAAGAAAAAAGACCATTTCAAGACTTTAAATTTAGATCCTTCAAATGTCTTTGAACGTATTTGCTGACACAGAGAGACCAAGCAAGGACAACGGCCGTTTCAAAGAAACGCTGTGTTATGACCTACAGCCTAGCCTAAAACTTTAAATGGGATAATGATGAAACCGAGTATAACCTCGCGAGGTTATCTCTGCCGTATCGTACCACCCCTCCTCTTGTCCATGTAAATTATCCTGCTATATCTCTTACCTGTTCTTCCTTAACCTTCTCACTCTTCTGGAATCAGCATACTGCCTAAAACTTACCGTGGCAACGTCTACACAAAAACCTTCCCCGTAATGTACTCTTCTTCTGTAGACATGCAAAGTTTCATGGTATCTGCATTCCAGAGCCTGTGCATTGCCCTAATGCTGTCCTAAAGGGAATTCAGGGATTTAAAATTAAACACCTACTTCACGTTTTCAGGAACACATTCGTCTTGAACAAACATCAGCTGAAAGAACACAGCTAACGTAGAACATGTATTTAAGAGGGAGGGAATCTGCACATCACAAGTAGCTATTAAGTAATTACTTTTCAAGCATGTGTGTTTTTTGTAATTTATGGTGTTAAACTAAGTGACTTTTCAGTCAAATGAAAGGGTTTCAAGAAAGAAAGGGGTGTCGAGGAAATAATAAACAGGAATTAGGAGCCAGCAGAGCTAAGGGCTATGTTAACTCAATATGCTAACAATTTGTGACCATTTAAATGTCTCAGGTATTTCTATTCTGTGAAGTATTTTCAGATGCCGTGTTCCCAGTGTCCTCTCTTTTTCTTTCTGTATGTTTATCTGTGTTGTGTTTCTGTGCGTGTTTAATCCCCTTTATTCTTCTTGCAGCGGGCGAATACATTATAAGGACATGTACAGTTTATTACGAGTTATCGACCCGCCTCTTGGCTTAGGCAAGAAATGCCCCCATAGGGTGGCCTGCAAGGTTTGACTTCAATTCAAATGAAACCTCTCAACCACACTTGCTAGCCACAGCACCCAGGAATGGAGTGAATGCTTCTTTTGTCTTTGTTTTGTTCTTTTTTTTTCTTTCGTTATTTTCTTTTTTCATTTCAACTTACAACTTCTTTTCCACCATTATCGACTTTGCATTCTGGACTGCTAAGAGAATGTGCGGGACAATGCAGACACCCAGAGAAGCATGTGAAATGCACAAACTGAAACCACATTGAGATGTTTTATCACATCGTAAAAAAAATTCTTTTGTTTTTGATTTTTGTTTTTCCTTTTGCTCGTCTTGGAGCCATGGCTTTGATGTAGCAAGCTACAGTTGCCCACTGTAGTGTTGCATTGTTCTTGGTTTTTGGGGGTTGGGGGGAAGACAGAAACTGCATTGACACCCCTTCCTCTACCTCCCCTCTCTCATTTCAGCAGGTGCAGCTTGTTGCCTGCATCCAATTCTTGCCCAGATCTGCTATCAGACCGTCTAAATCATGCTTTGAACACACTTAAGAGTGCAGAAGTTTGAGTTCACCTGGTCAGAAATTCAATTATTCTGAGTGAAAGATGTGCTGATCTTCAAACAGAAACACATCATGTTAGAGATCAACCAAAGCTACAATTTTGGTTAAATTAATGTTTTTTTGAATCATTATTGATAAAGCATACAAGATAAAGACCATGCTAGGTTTGACCTGGGAGACGTTAGCTTGACTCATGACGAAGCGTCTAGAATCCAAGGTTCTAACTCCCTAGAGTAAACTGAGAGGCTCCAAAGTGCAATGCTTCAATGGTTGGAGTCTACCATTTTTGAGACCGCTAACCTGAGGACATTATCAGGGTGCCTGCTACAGGCCCTACTGTTTTTTCTTGTGTAAAACAAAAAAGGCTTATCAGAACCAGTTTAATAGCATCCAAAACTTCAGAATTTTTCTTTTTTGCAGCCTCTGATACGGTTTTCTCTCTGGCCATCCGGCACATGCCTCTAAGATTTCCAAACCCCAGAGGCTCACTTCTTCAGCTCGATAGCTTCCTTCACTTCTGTTTAAACCAACAAGTGTTCCAGTTGCTGTTGGGACACCAAACAATGATCTTCTGACCACAGTTCCTGCAGGCCCGATTTACAATAGCAATTCCAAACATGGCTTTTTCAGGTTCCCCAAACCAGCCCTGGATTTGGGAGGTGAGGTAAAGATCTAATGGGAAAGGGCCTCTAACAGACATTCCCAGCTTGCCCTCAGAACTTATTTGGGTTTATTTTGGGCTGCATGGTGGCGCAGTGGTTAGCACTGTTGCCTCGCAGCACGAAGGTTGCAGGTTCGAAACTCGGCTGCTGCCTTTCTGCGTGGAGTTGCGTGTTCTCCTCATGCATGTGTGGGTTTCCTCCGGGTACTCCGGTTTCCCCCACAGATCACAACATGCCCTATAGGTTATAAATTGTAAGTCGCTTTGGATAAAAGCGTCTGCCAAATAAGTAAACATAAACATACCAAACTTGCCTGGCATCCTTTATGGTCCTTCATGGTCTTCCAACTTACCACCAGGTGGTGATCAGTTGACAGCCTGTGCCCTTCTCCTATCCAAAATAAAGGGCATTGTGATACAATTGTATCCCAACGCCTACCCGATTCACCTCCTCCAAGAAAGCTCAATGAATTTGGGCTCCAGAGCCAAGCAGTGCATGGAGGCGAGGACAACCCAACACATGATCCAGCCACTGTCCTGCCTATGGTGTGACATTCTTTCTACAGAAAGAACATTGGGTTCAGCATGCCTGAGCCCTGATCTGCCACTTTGCTTTCTTTTGACCTGACCTTGCTTTCTTACCTTTGTAACTTTTTGTTAATTTAAAAACCGTGAAACATCGGAATTTTACTGAACACAATGAGAAAATAGGTTTATTTTATTTCAGGCTTTTTATTTGTTTTTGAAAATCAGTTCATTGTTTTTTTATCACTTAGTTGCTCTTTGTTTTTTCAATGGCAGAATTTTGGACCAAAAACCAAACTTTTGCATTCTTCTATAAATTTACCTGCACAAAACTTTTTGTTAAATTCCAAAAGTAATACATAATCCAATCTTCAACGTTTTCTTGTTGTCACTCTTGTTTTCTACCTCTTTTCTGTCATGCAAAATGAAAAAAAGGATATTGCAACTTAGAAGAAGCACCCCTTCCACAAAACTTTCAAATCAACCCAATAAAGGTGTCTTTCTGCTATTTATTTGATATTTTTTATTCTTTCTTTCTCTTGAATTCTTCTATTATCCTATTTTCTCTCTTCAACTCTTCTTAACTTCCACTTTCTGCCTCTCTTTCTTTTCTAATTTTGATATTGGGTTGGTGGCTCTGGCTGATGTTGCAGTGGCAGAATCAGTTGCAGGGAAATGTATGAGATGCTGAGGCACATGAGTCCTCCACTGGGCCTCGGGAAGAGGTGTCCAGCACGGGTGGCCTACAAGGTTAGAAAGGCCCCCATCTTTATCCAAGCCTTCCAGTGGGTGTCGTGGGGATCTGGGTGGACACGGGGCGGGATCTTAAAGGGAGGGACCAGGGATTCAAGCGCTCAACGTGGTGTAAACTTTAGTGTCATTGTTTCTTTGGTTCTGTTTCAGTTTCCTTTTTGTGGAAAAGTTGGGGTGGGGCTGGTCGGTGTTGTGGCCTTGTCTGGTGGTGTGGATTTGGTGGGCGGAGGAAGCAGGACAGTCAGGTCGAGGGGTTCATGGGTGGGGTTCATGTATCCACAGGCGGGGACGAAGAAGAGGGACCTTCTCAGCTCGTTTGCACTGGATACACCAGCTCACAAACACATCATGATAAATGGTGGCTTGCTTTTATATCCTGCTAATAGAGGGATAGTCATAGATTGGTGCAATTCACAGCTAAACAAGCACACTCCTATGCAACAGCATGCATGTGCAACAGGGCTTGGAAGGTCCACCAGGCTTGTGTCCTCTGACTCGCTCCTTCCTGTGGATGAGGCAGACTCACAAACACATGCAAACACACAGAGAATCAGGTCACATCAACCTACACATAGATATTTCTGTTATTTCTCACGGTAGAGAGAGCAGAAGGGCTTGTGTCAGTGATGTGTTTCCCTCAGAGAGCCTCTGGTTGCCATACAGAAGCAGTTCTTTTTCTGTCACCCTTCATGTAGCAGCTCCAAGCCCCCGAGCAGCCTCTTTCTATCTGCAAGTCCAATCTTCTCTTTGTCCTTCGGTTCTGTCGTCAATGCAGTTCTATTCTGTTTCCAGCCCCCTTCATCTCTGCACATTGCTGCTCCCCCTTCCCCCACACGCATACGCTCCCTCACCTACCTCCTGCACGTCCGGTGACCACCACCACCACCCCTTGTCTGTCAAACACCACATAGACACACAGAATCTCACTTTTAGTGTTTTCAAAATAAAAACATACAGAAGGGTAATTACAGTCTTCTGAGTGTGTTTTCCTGTTACTTTTCCTGTGATCAGCTCTCATGAGAAATCATTGGCAGATCACTGTAGGCCTGGGGTGGGGGTGGGGGGTGGGGGAGTTAGTAAGCCAAACAGCCTGTAGGCACAAGAGATCATTTAATTCCCAACCATTGCTTTATCAGCACCACCACCCCTCCCCTCCCCCTCCTCAGATCCATCTTTTCCAGCTCACTCGAAGCAAACAGTGTTGACATTTTACTTTGTTTAATATAAGTTTTTTAATTAGGCTTGAGCAGAATCATAATTACTAACCTATCAATCATATACAGGTTTCTGTTTTCATGGCGTTTGCTCTGAAAGTTTTAGAGAATTGTTCCATTATCAAGTACTCGTAAACAGCAAAAATGTGTGTCTCAGTTACTGTTTGCCCCAAGTTTCTCAAGAGATAGTTTAGATCTTTTGAACAGAAGTTCAGTGGAATGGTGATTAACCTCTAACAGCTAGTCTTGCAACACATTCTCACACCGAAGCAGCTAAAACAGACGATGGGTGACCAAGCGTTTGTTTCCGACGCGGAGGTAACACGCTGTGTCAGAGTGTCACTTTCGTCACCGTGTTTGAGAGAGACGCCACAACTAGAAACAAAGTGCTGCATGTGCAAGTGGGTTACGGTTAAGATGGGGGTGAGGAGAAGATAAAATTGCAAGAGGTTAGAGGTTAAATGTTGGTGAAATGAGCATTTTCCCGCGGGCTTCGGAAAGCGACACTCTGGCACAGCGACTCGCCTACTGACTTGTTGGGAGCCCCAACGCCTGGTCACCCATCATCAGTTTTAGCCGCTTTGGGTGAGAATGTGTTGAGTTTTCAGAGCTCTTTGAAAGACCTCAGACTGAGGAAACAGTTTCAGAGAGGTCGAGACCAAACTGGGTTTCTACCATCTGAACCTTTAAAGCCTGGCACATGAAGTAATAATTGAACATTTTTCACATCAACTATTTAATGTGTAATGATATAAGATTTAAATATTTGTTAAAATTTACTACTTAATAATTTATTCATACAATAATTTTATATAAAATGAGAAAAATGCATGTACCATGTTGAGGATTTTAAACAACACCAACTCTTTTAAAGCACAAAGAGATTTTTGTCAGACAACACCATCTAGAGGCCAAAAAATTCACTGCACTTTGAGCCACTCTCTCTTCTTCCATGATTGTGGCTATATATATATATATATATATATATATATATATATATATATATATATATATATATATATATATATATATATATATATATAGTGGGAATTTGGCCTTTTTATTTTTGATTAATTAATTACAAAGAAAATTGCATTATTATTTTACCCCTTTGGGCCCAAGCGCCCTCCACTTGGGGGCCGGAAAGTTCAGCATCAAGGTGTATGCCATATGCATTAATAAATATCATCAAACTGCTCAAACAGCAGAGCCTGGGCTACGAGACCAGAGAAATGTTTTTACGTGCTCCAAACACAACTAAAACTGCAATTAAAGGGATCATGACAAATCACAGCAGGAGGGACAAACATACACACAGCATTCATCTTAGAACCCTCAGCAGAACTTCGCCTGAACTCTACACTACACCTCTATATGTTAGCACAGCTCTGCTGCCACCTTGTGATCAGTTCAGCACACAACATTTACAAGGTTCCATGTCTATTTACACCTGATCAATAACATGTATACCAATATTTTCACATACCAACAAATCACACAATTGTTACCTTTATAATGAGACCAAAGTAATCAAATAAATCTTGTGATTACAGAAATATACTCATTAAAGTGTAGGTATGCCCTCTGTACCTCACTAACATTATTTGTGATTTTTTAAAAATACTTGGGCGCAAATTGGCTTGAATGATTGAAATGCAATTAATCAAAATTCAATAATTACAAAGCCTCTAATTAACTTGATTATTTTTTATGGAGTCTCATCCTTTTTTTTTCTTTTGAACTTGTACATAAGAACTGTTGCCACCTCTGAGTCAGTTCTGGTTTGTCTGTGATTAACATCGATATGTAAGCAGATGTTTATCACTACTGGCTAATGCTGAGTGGCACTCAAATCACATTGCATGGGGCTGTACGGGATGTGGGGCAGCCGTAATAAAACATATGGCACATATTCCCTTCATTATTTCACAGAACATCATAGCCCCAACTGCACACAGGAAGCATCAGCAGCGTGTAACGACAGCCGTTGCAACGAGAAAGTCTCAGCCGCAAAGCGGCTTCTCTGCTGTGCTAAGCGAGGTCAGAAAGTCCTTCAAGTTTATGCTGTCCACCATTAAACAAAAAAGAAGCAAATCACGTTTGATATCGCTGTTTGATGTCGCATATGATGTTGTTCCTCTCCACAGCAGGATTAAAGCTATGAAAAACACCCCGCTGCACTTCTGGAATGATGCAGGGAGTAAATAAGCCGTTAGGTCACTGTATTAACACAATCTACATAGTTATGGCATCGCGTTGCTGCTATAGACTTTTATTTTGAAAATTACCAGGGGTTTTACACTGAAACAGTGTGTTATTTCTTGTCAAGGCCTATGTTAACTGCGGACATTGTTGTGTACCAGAAGTCACTTCTGGGCTTCTGGGTCTGAAAATGACCGTGTTGCGGCTGGTTTGAATCGCCCCATAGACTCTACTGGATCCTATTTGCTGCCCTTCCACGCCGCTGATGCTTCCAGTGTGCAGTAGGCTTAAGACTCCCACTTTTACGGATTTATAAAAAAAATCATCACTGCTTTAAGGAGGATGAACCTAAGCTTGGACGTATCAGATGTGACACATTTATAGGTTTTCAGACAGAACTAACGTCAAGCTAATTTAGAAACATCACACCACTGTTGTGTTCACGTTAAATTGCAATTTCAATAGGATTAAATAGTGACTGTACGTGCAAATGGTGACAGGAGCACAGCTGTTGCAAACTTGAGTATTTCCAGCAAAGATCAAAACAATCACACTCAAACTTCTAAAACAGACACAATTTAAAGAAAATATGAATCATTTTGTGTTTGCTGGGCTTAGTTAACTAGTCAATTTCTCCAAACTCTGGCCATTCAAGGAGCTCTATCCAACAAGTAGGACTTTATTGTTAGTAATGTTTTTGAACAGGCCCCACTTCAAAGATCTGAACTGTCCCTTTAAGCTCTTTTATCCATTTTAACAGCTCCCACCCTTCCATCATATTCTGCTCCTCTTCTTTTCCTTCTATCTTTATCCCATTTACAAACTGTAAAGCCTCCTTCCTGACACTAAGAAAATAAATAAACCTTTTCTCCTGCTCAACCACTTAACAAGCCTTAACATGCATGGAACAACATGATAATATATCCCTTGGTTGTCATTACTGGAAAGCAAATGATTCCAGTGTGTTTGTGACCTCCCCTCCTAAGCAGAGGAATCCAAACCTTACATTTACCCTCCAGTCCACAGAACAATGACCTAAATCTCTGCTGCTTTTGACCCTCCATCTTCTCTGTCCTGAAGAGAGACGGCAGAGTCTTCAGGCAGGACCGCTTTTATACATCAGACTAATGATGGTGATGCTTCTTTAGCTTTCTTTTTCTGTTCTTCTCCACTTATCTACTTTTTGGTCACATCTTCTCTTCACATGCTCCAACTCATAGAGATTGTTTTTTCCTCTAAAGCTATCCATCCCAGTTTGTATTTTTTTATTGTAAAACATTTTTTTTTCATGACATATTCCCTACTTGGTTTTGGAGATGTTTGTCTCTTTTTCTATTTCCACAAACACTGCTCTCTCTCACCTATTAACCCTCCAAACCTGTACTCATTTTTGTAAACATTAGACCTCAAATATCTAGCATTTCAGCGTAGCCACATCAGTTTCCTATTGCTTACAGGAATAACCACAATAAAACAACTCACAAACTCATTTCAGTGTCGCCAACAGAGAATACCGTCTTTGTACAGCTGCTCGTCCTGTGAGACATTTTGTGTGCGCTGCATGCTGCATGGGGTGGGAATGTGCAAGAAGGACTTTGGGGGATGATGGATCAACAGGAATGTGGGGGTGCATGATGCGCTGCATGCAAGTTCTTTTTTTTTTTACCCACCGGTTCTGCTTGTCGTTGTTTTTCACCAAACACGTGCCAGCATCATGCCGTGACTTGGTATGTGTCTATTTTCAGTCTTCTTCTACCACTTGTCAACAGGACCAACAAAGGATCAAACCAATAAATTAAAAACATACCCCAAAATGTTTTCCTTTCCTTCTAGAAGAGCCTTCCTGTTTTTGGTTTATTGGTTTATCATCTGGTCTCTGTTGTTTTGTTGTTTTTACTGTGAACCTCCAAACCCTCAGTAGGAGCTCTGGATAATAGTAGCCACTGCTGAGCCTGTTCTGCCATTTACACTTAAAGCTGGGTTGAAGATCTTCTTAAGTTTGGTTCTGTTTAAAGATTGTGTGTAGATAGCTCTTTGAATGACCTCAGTTTGGGGAAATGGATTTTTATTTTGGCCAGATTGATGAGCAAACAGCTAGTCACAGCTGGGTTTAGGCCAAAGTCGTCCTTAAAGAAACTCATTTATCAAAATAGCAGACTGCATAAAATATTTACTTCAGAGAAAACCCCCATGCTGAGAAAGTAGAGCCATAGGTGACAGTGGGAAGGAAAAATTCCTTTTAACAGGAAGAAACCCCCTGCAGAGCTTGGCTCAGAATGGACAGTTAGTCTGCCATGGCTTTGGATAGTCAGCTCCCACAAATAACTCATAAAAAACTAAACGTTAAAATGATAACAATGCCAGGAGTAAATTATATATGTAGCTGACTGAATCAGGCGTAGATAACAGCGGCAACTTTGTGTATTTACTTCTGGTTGTTCCAACCAACATCTGACTAATAAGCAGGCTAAGTTGTTTGAAAAAGATAATTTAATGACAAGAAACAGACAGAACAACACAGAAGAGCTACATTCGGAAAGAGAAGAACAATTGTATAAAGTAAAAAAGACAACAAAGGATGTTGAAATAGGACCTGGTGACTTGTAACATCTTTGGGATTGGAGTTATTTTAAACCAACAGCCTAACTTTTGGACATAGCCTCACTTGTTCTAGCTGTTAGCTTGAGCTTGACAACCTGGTTCCACTTTAAACTGAGTTCAAAGAGCTACCTCCTACAGATGAGATATAATTTTGGTCATAACTTTTTCTAAATAAGCCTAAATGATCCGAATCATCAACAACAAGGAAAATGTTGGTTTACATTCTAGGACTCCTGTAGATCCCATGTTTTAACCTATGACCTGAGAGCTGTTTCGATGTCAAGACACACAAGGTAAAAGTAACCGGTTTGAACACCATTGGACTCTTTAAGTCTGAAGTATAACAGGCAGACAGACTGAGTCAATGACTACTATTTATGCAGTTGCAAACCCTTTCCCTCTCCCAACTGCCCTTCTTGCCACAAACCTGGCAACACCACCTCCCTCCCCCTCCCTTGTCAATTGGAGGTTCCACAAAAACTCTCTTTACTTCCCAACTTTCTCACCGCTCGCCTCGACTGGCTTTCTCACAGAGACTCCTCCGTATGGATCTGCCTGTGGCCGATGACAACACAGTCCACTTCAACTCCACTCTCATGGCTTTGATCCGCACAGCGCTGGATATCAAGATCGCCAAGGGTACGAAAGTTTGAAATCTCTTCTACTTCCTTTGGTCGGGTTGTTTTCGGAGACTTCCATGCATTTTTCTCCTTTTTACCTTCCAGAACAATATTTTCTCTTTGGTTATCATAGAAATCTCAACGTTCCTGAGATCTTTCTCCACCTTCAGCTATTGCATAGTTTTTTTCTCTAGACCAGACTTTATCTGTAACAAATAAGTCTTATCTTGTATGAGGTTAAAGGATACGTTCTTGAAAAACAAATGATCCTTTTTCATCTGTACCTACTTACATGTAGCATGGCTTAACTTGGTTCTGCACAGTTCTAAGGCTTTTCCACTTGTAACGGGTACCCAGTGGCTGTTCCGTTTTTTTGCCCCAACTTTGATGTGGTTTCATGTTGGGCCAAAAACACAACATCAGAGACTGTCAGTCACCGATTGGCTAGTGGGTAGAGTCACTTGTTGATCCAGAGTGGTTCAGCTCGCTTCTCATTGTCCCTTCTGGGTCACTTCTTTTCTTAGTCTGACAAAAATCCACAGAAAGTTCCACATTGCTACCATGTCCTCTATTGTAGGGTTGTGTTCTGTACAAATCACCTTGCGCTACTTTTCGGACTCTGAGGCATTCTTTCTAAGATGAGCCTAGCCACTAGAACACCTCCTCAATTGTAATGGACCACCTGAACTGTGTGTAATCATCCCAGGTCAAGCCACTGACTAGGCACTTGTGGAAAACTGCACATAGGCCTCCTTCACACAAGATGACAACCAGTCTACCTCCATGGCCTACTGGTTGGAAAGTGTGATGGCATTTACATTGTTGCTATGCTCTGTGTACTTGTTAAATCACTTTCCTCCCATTATTGGGTCCCTGAGATGCTCTTATTTTACGCTGTAAAAACCGGGCATCCTGTCTACAAAGATGCACACAATGGCCACCACAGGATACGTGTGTTAGGCGACTATTGCTTTGTACTGGACTTGTTAGCCTGGAGGTTAAAACGCCTGACTGGCATGTAGTTTTGCGTAGGTTCACCTTCTAATTGTGTAAGTAATGTTTTTGTAAAACTTTATGTTTTCAAGCCTTTATTGGTAAACTGTTTAAAGGAGTCATCACCTGTTACTACCGTGGATGTCTACATCATAATGTAGTCTTTTAGGCCATAAAAATAATTTGTATTGGAAAAATAAATTAAAAAGTGCTTTTCTTACCTTTTTTTTTGTAAAGGACATGTTTTCTGGCGAGAACACACGTGATATTTCAGCTGTGATGGACATTATAATGATGCAATTGAGGGGCACGCTGATTGGTGAAAGGAAGCAGTGGTGTTGACATCGAAGACAGAACGCGTCGCTATGGCAGTATGGGCTTTAGTGGCGTTGATCTGAGCTGTCCACATATGGTACTGCAAGGCCAGAGTTCAAGATCTCGGTTAGTAGTGCGCATGCTCGTGGGGTGCAGGTGGGCTGGTTGAAGAAGCAAAGAGTAAAAAAACGATCCAATGTCAAATACCAGCTTCCCAAACAGTAAAAAATCATTAGGAAGCCATTATATACAATTTTCCAAGTGGAAAAGTGAAAATTTCAGGTGAGGACTCCTTTAAAATATAAGGACTATTCTGTTGTTTTTTTTTTACTTTCTGTGTTTATTCTGCCAGTGTGAGTCCATGTGAGATGAGCAGAGTAAATCAACTAAAATGCTGCTTTGAAATGACCAGTCAAAGATCTTTAGAGACAAATTATTTTACAGAAAATAATCAACTAAATTAAAAAATAAATAAAAGAAATCTGCTGTAGCTGGCTAAATAAATGACTGCCAACATCGGGAATCGAACCGGCGTCAGCTCACGGCAAAATGAGACAAAAGCCAGATTTAGTTTCCACTGAACTACACAAGACAACACACTACTAAACTTGCCCAAAACATTATTTCAGGCATATTTTGTCTGAACAGACATAAATTCAGGTTGATGAATATGACTCTTATTTAAGATAAATGACATCTCAACAGTAATCTTGTACCACATATTGTGCCTGTTTTTGCTCTCAAACGTTTAAAATAGCATTATCTGGAACTTAAATTTCAAGCATTTGTGAATTTTTTTTTAAATTGCTTGTAAATTGCACGGAAATATGTTCTTTAAAAATCAAAAACATCTGAATGTGATCTCAAACTTTTGAGTGGCAGTGTGCGTCGACTATTGCACCACACTCTTCCATAGCATAACTCAGACTGCATGGGCAGCTGAGCACTAAAAGATCCAGCTGCACTAGCTTAATGCCACCATGGCTAGATCCCAGGCAGGAGGCCAACCCACTAAGTTTTGCTACGCTAGCCATCATCATAGATACCAGATCATTGATGGAACTGCCACCAGAAGGATAAACCAATACTCTCAGCTCATCGTGATCCTCTCATGCTCTACCACTAGTAATGAGCAGCCCTCTGTGTTCATAATCCACACACGAAGACCCCGTCAAGACCCTGTAAACACCGTCCATTTGCTGGCTATTATTTTACATGCAGTGAGGTTGTCATCCTGTGTGAAGAGAGGGTCTTACAGAGTGAACTGATGTCATTTTTTTTGTTTTACTATTGCCAATAAAACTGTTTTCTTTTTGTCTGTTTCCATGTGTGTATGTCCTGTTTTTTTTTACTCTTTCATCAAAAATCTTACTTGGTATGAATGGCGTATGTTTCTGTGTGTCTGGGTACATTTTAAAACCACATTTGCGTGAATGATTATTTCTGACCATGTGTCTTTGAATGCATCTGCATGCCCTGGGTTTTGTGACAAATAACTAGGTGTCGTACTCATGGGAACCAGGCTTTCTCAGTCCTAGCCCCATCTCTCTGGAACCAGTTGCCACCCTCAGTCAGGCTATCCCCATCTCTGCCAGCCTTTAAGAGTCGCCTAAAAACCCACCTCCTCCACTTGGCATTCCCTGAATGTGTTTGAGTTAGGCCTTCATTTAAGTTGATTTTAATTCCCTGCTTTCATTGGTTTCTTTATCTCTTGTTTTACCCATTTGTTTTCTACTTTAATGTTTTTATCTTTTTTCTCATGTACCTTGTTCAGCGTCTTGGGCTTCCTGACAGGGTCGCGGAAGGCACTTTATAAATAAAGCTTTGATTGATTGATTGATTGATTGATTGATTGATTGATTGATGACTGCCTAGGTGGTATTGACAAGCACCAGATGGACGCGGAGCTGAGGAAAGAGATGATGGCGATCTGGCCCAACCTCTCCCAGAAAGCTCTGGATCTGCTGGTTACGCCGCACAAGGGTAAGTTTCAAGTGATGAGTGCCTGGTCGGGATCGTGGCTTGGTTGAGCCACAATTTGCTGCTCAGTACTTAAGCTATGATGATTCACTTCACACCACCCGAGGACAGCTTTTCTCAGCCAGTTTCTCTTTTTCTGTCGCTGCTGCACCCTCTGAATCAGCCAGCACAGCCCCTTATAATCCAACTGCAAAAGAAAATCATCAAAATAAACCATGTTGCCAAAAGTATTGTGACATCTGCCTTTACAAAAACTGCAAGGACCGTATTTTCTAACTTTATAAAGCTTAGGTGTATGCTGGTAGAGGTTCTCAGTCATCAAGGTCATAGTAATCCAAAGGGGTTCAATGAAGGCAACTAGACTTGCTTACTTGAGCATGTTTTGCAAGGTTTTTGCTGCATCTAATCAATACAACTATTCCGACACAATAGAGGCTAATGACTCTAATGACTCCTCAGGAGGGATCCACACATAAGTGGGAGGGTGGGGATTTTTCTTCTGCTTGTAGGGTTTAATTATTCCCAACCATCACATTTTTCTGAACTCCACTTGATTGTGAGTGTGCTACGTGCTAGCTTAGCATTAGCTAATCTGCCCGTAGGTTCACTCTTGAGCCCAAACTTTGGACTATTTCTGCCTTTTACAATGGTTTCTGTCTATGCTGGTTTTTTTATTTCCCTCCACAGCACATGGATCACCACATTGTGCGCTAGTAAAATGATTTGAGACTGTGTGTGCACATTCACTGAAGCTTCGATTCCGTAAAAATGCAATCGAGTAATTTAATTAATCGAACCATTCAATTCATTCGATGATTCATTTCAGCCCTAGTATACATAGGTTGTTTCAGCTCGTTAAGCAACAATAGACAGCTACAGTTTATTAGCCCTTCCATATTCCAGTCAGAACTGACAAAGCTTCTCAGATGGGAAGCGAAACATCTTCAAGAACACAAAGAAGTCCAGTTGCCTTTGTTCTGGCACGTCCCGGAAGCGGAAAGCCGCACCACGCTGCTGTTAGGACCGAGTTCTATTTTTTCCGTAAGCTGCATCTGTGACACGACAATTTCCGCAGTTAACAAAGAACTAGATGGGAAATTGTATACGGTTTCAGTGTAAAACCCCCAGTAATTTTCAAAATAAAAGTCTTTTTCAGCAACGCCATTTCATATCTTTTTAGATTACGTCAATACAAGTGACCCAGTGGCTTATTTAATCCCAGCATCCTTCCAGAAGTGCAGCAGTGTGTTTTTCATGGCTTTAATCATGGCAATGGTGAGAAACAACATAATATATGATATCAGTCAGCGATATCAAATGTGATTTCCTTCTTTTTGGTTTAACGGAGTATGGCATAAACTTGAGAGATTTTATTATCTTGTGAGTTAAACGAGGATGATGGTGGAAGTGTTGAGGGATTTTATGATCGTTCGAGTCCAGCGAGGAGCACAGCAGAGAAGTTGCTCTGCAGCTGAGGTTCTCTTAGTGTGTACTCACATGTACTCACAAGTTGCGAGTAAACCGCTGCCGCTCCACTCTGCTGATGCTTCCAGTGTGAAGTAGGGGTAACTCATCCCAAAGGTGTTTTATCAGGTTGTCGGTAAAGTTCCTCCACACCAGTTAGTTGGGTTGTTGGGGTGTTCCAATTCTCTTGGCAACAAAGCATAATTAAAAAAAAACATGTTTTCTTCTTTTATCTACAAAAGACTTCCCCAGTCACGCTGAAGCCTGAAATCAGAGGGTGCCGTACTATAGATCAACTCTCTATAGATGTCTTTTCACTTAAGGACAGTTTTTAAACGTTAGCATTTGTGCATATGCCAATCCAGCAAATAATGAGTTTCTTAGTATTTTCAATGCATACATTCTGTCAATATAATTCCTTGTAAACTGATAATGTATTGCTTTCTCTCTTTTTTTTCCAACTTCAAATGTGACTTCATTGCATCTATATTTAACAAATTCTATAATCTGACAGTGAAAAGACTTTTTGCTCCATTTTTGTGTATGTGACTGTGAAATGTGTTTTTTGTGATCGTGCTTCACTCCTCTCTAGCATCCCGTGCTCAGGGCCCATCCCAATGTCTCTAATACCGCAGGGTAACTTGTCATTCTCTCAGCAGCCACCGACCTGACAGTGGGGAAAATATACGCTGCCATGATGATCATGGAGTACTACCGGCAGAGCAAGATAAAACGCTCACAGGCTCTTCGTGACGAGCAGGTACCGCAGTAAAGTAATGTCCTGTCTGCGTCCGACCCCTTGAGTTTAAAAGGCAGACTGATGTGCTGAAATAAAGACCTCAGGTCTGTAGATCTCTTCGTACCGGCTCGGGCTGAGACAGCCTTCTGTTACAATCAAATTCAACTGAGCACTATATGACTTTACAGTGAAATGGGGCCTCTTGAGCAGCAAACCAGGTGCTGCCATCTTGTGGGCAAGATCTGTTACAGTAATTTTAGTTCTGACATCATAGAAGAAAAATGCAAACACAAAGCTTGAGGTGAATTTGGAATTGTTCAAAAACTGAACTTTAAAAAAAACTATTGAGTTGACAGTGTATGAATAAAAAAATAGACTCAAATGTTGTCACAGCACCAAAGGTTCCGATGCCTGAACATCTTCACAGTGGCTTGTTTTCTAAATCAATTGCCTGCAAAGAGTGCATCTGCCAACCTTCCACCAAATGTGCTTGAAACCTTGGACTGTTTGCCCTGCATTATATCACCCTACCTAACCTTTGAAGAGATAGTTCAGATATTTTAATGTAGGGTTGACTGAGAAGGATCTGAAAGATTAACATCTTACCTGTGACAGAAAGCTCTTTAACTGAACTCGGTTTGGAGAAACAGAGGCTGATTCTGACCAAATAAATGAATTATTGACTGATCTTTTGTGTTACAGCGTAATCTGGAAACACTGCCTTGTCAATACCATTTGTTTTGTTTGTTGTCTCTAAAAATTTTCCTTGTAAACCCACCCATCCATAAAGGTTATGAACAGAATCTGTGACAAAGGGCAGCCTTGGTGGAGTCCAACTCTCACCAGAAACAAGCTCGACTTACTGTCGGCATTAGCACTCTAGTCTGCTAGGAAGCCCGTCGGGATAGCTCTGATAAAAAATCCAGGCTTTGAAACATTTTGGATTGACTTGGTCTAATGTTCAGGGACAGATGAACATGCTGCCTGTTAAATATGGCATCTAGCCAATCAGAAAGTGAGGCGATGGAAGAACACGCTCCTCCTCTGTCATGTTTGTTTACTTCAAAGTCACGTTTCATCTCACAAGATTTCCCATCTGAACGAGGAATGTCCGTGAGTAAAAGTGTGGTGTTAAGTTTTTGTGACCAAAAGTGGTGTATCCGTGATCACCAAGTGTGTGGTCTCTCATGCTGTAAAAATAGTCCAACTATGTTAAAACATGTTTTTTATCTGGATATTCTGAGATTAGAAATGTTTCAAGGTCATTTTAGTTCTTCTTGAAAAAGACATCACATCAGTCTGTCTCCAAGCTGACTTTGTTCTAAGAGCAACCTGGAAAAGGAAGATATTAATTATTCATGACTTTTTCATAGACATACTCAAAATATCTGAATATTTCTTACATTTAACCCTTCACCACTCATTAAATAAAACAAAAAAAACTCTTTGCTTACTTGTTAGATGTTTGGAAATTAAATTGTGCAATTTTTAGTGATGCACCGATATGACATTTTTGGCCCGATACCGATATCCAATATTAATATCATTGTTATGGCCGATAACCAATATTTGCAGAAACCGATATACCGTATTTGTGTTGATATGTTGGAGAAAGTCACTGTTTTACATGAGTGACCAGCAGAGGTCACTGTTTTTTAAAGAGCACATAAGGGTAGCACAAGGAAGAAGACCACAGGTGGTGTTGATATAATAAAGAAATGTTTGTTTGAGCTGGAGTCTCACTCCGACTCACACTCCAGCACAGTAGGTGGCGGAAATGCACCTAGCAATTAGATGCCACCCGCCAATAAACACGAAGAAGAAAAAGAAGAAGAAGAGCTGGAGGCTCAGAGACACGAAATGGTCTGCTGTGTGATCCTTCACTAACTCTTAAAGAACAAAACACTGTGTCAGGAGTGGGATTGTGAAAGTGAAGGCCGACAGAGATACCAGGCAACAGTTCCTATCAAGATGGAAAGTTTGAAGCCTCTGGAAGGAATGAAGCTGGTGAGAAATGTCGACAGCAACTGGAGGTGTTTTAAGCAGCAGTTTGAGCTGTATATGGCTGCCATGGGGCTAGACTCCAAACCAGATGCAAGAAAGATTGCATTGCTACTCACTGTAGCTGGTCCTCAAGCCATTGAAGTCTTCAACACCTTTGAATTTGAAGAAGCAGCGGGCAGAACCAAGTGTGACAAGGTGATTGAGAAGTTTGATGGACACTGCTCGCCACAGAAAAACTATATGAAAGGTATGTCTTCCGCTCTCGGACGCAGCAACAAGAAGAGGCATTTGATTGCTTTGTGACTGATTTGAAGCTGACAGCACAGTCATGTGATTTTGGAGAGTTAAAAGATTCTATGGTCCGGGATCAGCTTGTGTATAGAATCTATGATAAATGGACTAGAGAACGACTACTCAGAGATGCCAAACTAACTCTGGATGAAGCGGAGAGACTGTGTCATGCCAGTGAGCTAGCTCTGCAGCATGCAAAGACCTTTGAAACAAGTGTCACAGCAGTACATGACAGTGCTAAAGTGGCTGTGGTAAAGAAAATGAAGAAAAATGTGCCTCAAAGATCAGCAAAGGTGACATGTACACCTGTAAGCCGTGTGGTGGCAGACATCAACCTCGACCGTGTCCTGCTTATGGGAAAATATGCTTAAAATGTCATGGGAATAATCATTTGCCAAACAATGTCTCTCTAAAGTCAAACCTAAATCAGTGAGACTAGTTGAAGAGACTGATTTAAGTGAAACTTTCTTTGTGGGCTTGGTGTCATGTGAAGATGTAAGGACTGTGCACAATCAGGCAGATGACAGTTACCAGTGCCCAGAAGACATGTGGTGTGTTCCCCTTCCAATAAATGGGGCTTTGGTAACACTAAGGATTCATACAGGTGCACAAGTTAATCTGATCAGCATGACAGAGATTCGAGGCATGAAGTTTTAGCCCATGATACTCAAGAACAAAGTACTATTAAAGGACTATAATGGAAAGGACATTGAAAGCCTCGGGCAGTGCAGACTTAGAGTAACAGTGAAACGCAAAGAGTGTGATGTTCTGTTTACTGTTGTTCCAGAAGGACGTGAATCACTGCTAGGTGGTGCTACATCTAAGAAATTGAATCTGGTGAAAAGAGTGTTTCACATCAACTGTGAAGAAGCAGTGTGTCTACACCCAGGGAGTGTTGACTCCATTGTGCATCATTATGAAGATGTGTTCAAAGGCCTGAGATGCCGACCATACACATACAGCATTCAGTTGAATGAAGATGCGATGTCGGTGATCCATGCACCAAGGAGAGTCCCTGCTCCGCTGAAAGACCGTTTAAGAAAGGAATTGGACAGGATGTCACAGTTAAAGGTCATCACCAAGGAGGAGGAACCAACTGAGTGGGTGAACTCAATGGTGTGTGGACAAGAGGAACGTCACTAATGACCTGAGAGTATTATAATAATAATAATGCATTGAACTTATATAGCGCTTTTCTAGACACCCAAAGATGCTTTTACGCACTCTCACATTCACACACTGCTAGTGATGGTAAGCTACTTGTAGCCACAGCCGCCTGGGGAGGTCTGACAGAGGCGAGGCTGCCATTTGGCGCCGTCGGCCCCTCTGACCACCACTAACACAGGCAAGTTGGGTGAAGTGTCTTGCCCAAGGACACAACAGCAGGATACCCCTGGCGGGAGCTGGAATCAAACCCACCTGAGCTACTGCTGCCCCATGTATGGACCCTGGTGATTTGAACCGAAGCATAAAGCGTAAGCACTACCAGATACCAAAGCGAGAAGAGATTGTATGTGAAATGGCTGGAGCCAGATATTTCTCAAAGTTAGATGCAGCACAAGGGTTCTGCAAATACAGCTGGATGAGAAAAGTTCAAAGTATTTTGGCCGATACAGATTCCTCAGGATGCCATTCGGCATCATTTCAGCATCTGAGATTTTTCATCGTGCCATGGAAAACATGCTGGAGGGTGTTCGTTGTTATGTTGATGATGATGCCGTCTGGGGTTCTACCCTGCAGGAACATAACCGAAGACTGCACCGGGTGAGGGTCAATGGTTTGAAGCTTAGTCGTGCCAAGTGTCTTTTTGGTGTGAGAGAAATAACTTTTCTAGGTGGCAAACTGTCTGCTGACGGAATTATGCCAGATGAAAGAAAAATAGCAGCCATTGCAACCATGCCACGTCAGACAGACAAGAGAGGTGTGCTCAGAGTCTTGGGGATGATGAACTTTGTTGGAAAATTCATACCCAACTTGTCAGTGAGGACATCAGCGCTGCGGGAGTTGCTTCGTGATTCTGTAGGTTTCAAGTGGACAGAGAAGCATGAGAAGGAATGGAAGGATTTAAAGACCACACTGACAACTCACCCAGTACTTGCTTATTTTGATCCAACTAAAAGTCTGAAGATCTCAACGGATGCCTCAAAGGATGGACTTGGGGCTGTCTTACTTCAAGCTGATGGGGGAGCTGGAAGCCAGTTCTTATGCTTCTAGATCTATGTCCAAGGCTGAAGTTACATATGCACAGATTGAGAAAGAGTGTCTTGGATTGGCATATGGACTGGAGATTTTTCACTGCTATGTTTATGGTCTTCCTACCTTTACAGTTGAGACAGATCATCGCCCTCTGGTGTCCATCATCAAGAAGAATCTAAATGAGATGTTGTCACGGATTCAACGGCTTGTCATGAAATTTGCGGAAGTACAACTTTTATCTAATATATACGCCAGGCAAGCATTTAGCTTTAGCTGATGCTCTGTCTCGAGCATCGCAGATGGGTCACATGAGCTCCACTGAAAGGAAGGTAGAGGACCATGTCAATATGGTGATGGCGTCTCTGCCAGTGTCTGAAGGAAAGATAAAGCAGATTTCTGAAGAGACGACTGCAAACAAGCAGCTTCAAACTGTGATGGCAAATATTCAAGATTGATGGCCCAAAGGATTCTGCTCTAAGTTCTATCATGTCAGATCAGAGCTCAGTGTGGCCAATGGACTATTGTTGAGAGGTAGTAGGATTGTGATACCGCAAAGTCTGAGACATGATATACTCAAAAGAATACATGAGGGACATTTCGGGATAGAAAAGTGTAAACGGCGGACTAGGGATTCTGTGTATTGGCCTGGTATCAATGGAGACATTGAAAACATGGTAGGAAAGTGTGACACATGCAAAACGTTTGAAAGCAGACAAGCAAGGGAACCGATGATGATTCCTGATCTTCCTACTTCACCGTGGGAGAAGTTGGGAACAGATCTTTTTCACTTACATGGAAAAGATTATCTGTTAATCATAGACTTATTCTAACTTTCCTGAGATTGCGTTGCTCACAAGTACAACTGCCAGCAATGTCATCACACATGTGAAGTCCGTTTTTGCTAGACATGGAATACCAGAAACTGTCGTCAGTGACGATGGTCCTTGTTACAACTGCAAAGAATGGCAGAACTTTGCTAGAGTATGGGTTTCATCATGTCACATCAAGTCCTCAACATCCACAGGCAAATGGCAAGGCTGAAAAAGGAGCGCACATCATCAAGCAGCTTCTAAAGAAGGCTACAGACTAGGGGTTGTATGAACTAGTCGACTAGTCGACCTCACTGCTCTGTAGTGAACTTTTATGCTTGTCATCGACTAGTCGCTGTCACGTGATAATGACCAGCAAGATGCAGTCCTCGGAAAAGACAGCAGGTGACGAGCCCCTGCACGTTGGCAGGCGACGCTGTGCCAGAGCGTCGGTACTGACACCCGCCGTAAAACGGACATTTGACCAAATTGTGACCTTTACCCTCTTGCAATTAACCTTCCCCTCACCCCCATCCTAACCTTAACCAGCTTGCGCATGCAAAGCTCTGATTGTTGACACGCTCCAGACATCTGCGTCCTGAGCACGGCCACAGTAACATTATTAAATCAGGTGTCGCCACCTCCAAAACTAATTTAACATGCAATGTCAGCTCATTTCCTTTTATGTTTTCTGTCTTTTATTTGTGCCTGATGCGTTTCGCTGCTGTGGAGCTGGGCGCATCACGTTGTTCTCCGGTGACGGACCTCACCGGTGCGGCCAGCGCGCAGAGCGCACCCCGCTGTTTTTGCGGTCAGTAGATCTTTTAGAACTGCAGTTCAAAGGTAACTCATGAGGTGAATATATATGAACCCAGGTAGCAGTTTTTCTTTAGGATTGAGAGGAGATGCAGGAAGATAATAAACAAGCAGGACAGAAAAACAGTCAAATAAAAACAAGTTAGTTTTTGTACCTGGTGGTTGCAACAAAGACACCATTGAAGGTAATCAGAAGTGAGGAACAGAAAATGAAATAATTATTTTAATGTTTAGAGCAGCAGAAACTCTGAGAGGCTGCAGGTGCATCAGTGAGTTTGCGGCCGCTGCGCAGGGGGAGGGGGGAGAGGGCTGAAGCAGAAACTACCGTTGTTAAAAGAAATGTGTTTAACTTTGAAAATGTGGGCGCAATTTTAATCGTCAAAAAACTCCAGCGAACCAACCTACACCCCCACCCCCACCCCCGGCTGCCGCGCCTCTTCAGGTGTATGACGTCATCAACGACTAGTCAGTTGACTCAATTTTCATTACTTGACAGTCGACTTTTTAAAAAAAATTAAGTCATGCAGCCCCTACTACAGACAGTAACTCGGATCCTTATTTGGCTCTGTTGAGCTATAGGACTGCTCCTCTGGACTGTGGTTTATCCCCTGCTGAACTGTTGATGAGTCGAAAGCTACGCGCAACTTTACCCTGCTATGAAGCAATCAAGCCAAATGAAGAGATGATGAAAAAACTTGTGGCTAAGAAATGGAAACAAAAACAGCAATATGACAAGACAACGCGACCACTTGGACTGCTTGCTAAGGATGATGTTGTGAGAATCCAGGATCAGAATGTATGGGGCAGAAAAGCCATTGTTCTTCAGGATGCAGGCCCACGATCCTATGATGTAAAGACTGAAGAAGGTCAGGTGCTCAGACGGAATCGTCGCCATCTGCTGAAGAGCAAAGAGACTTTTCAGGAAGGACAATGTGTGGGAAGCTATTAATGCTGATGTTCCCCATGTAGAGACATTAACTGATGTACATTTAGATGGACATGAGAAAAACACAGTTGATGTTTCTCCAGAGCCTGCATTGAGGAGGTCACAGTGTACAATCAAACAGCCAGTTAGACTTAGTTATGCATAGCGATGTTCTTGTCATTAATTATAGTTGTAAACAGTATTGACCAAAATTTAGGACATTTTTTTCATTGAAAATAATTTTAAAATGTGGGGTCGTCCTATATTCGAGTCAATACGGTACTCTCATTAATGCTTCGAAAATCAGTAGATTTTGTATAGAATGAAAATTATTAAAGCTCAACTTACGGTGTTATAGAATAGAATAGAATAGAATTCAACTTTATTGTCATTGCACATGTACAGGTACAGGGCAACGAAATGCAGTTTGCATCCATCCAGAAGTGCTTTAGCCGTGATATCAATGTATTACAATATATATTAGCAATAATACAGGTGTGTAAGTATATTACAGAAATGGATCTATTACGTATGTTATAATGTACACGGTATGAAGTATGTTATGAATATTCTATGACTATAAGTATGTACAGGCTGTAGTTAATACAAGCAGTCCATGAGTTTAACGTGGGTCATATGTCAGGAGGCAGAGTTATGTACACACACCACACACATTTACGCTTCTGAGATGATTACAATCACTGTCACATGACTAAACAATTATGCATCACCCTTTCACCCTCTGAAACAGATAAACAAATAGAAGCAAGATAGAAAAAATATCTGTTAATATCGTCCCAGCTTTATTTATCAGACCGATACCGATATGTTAAAAAATGACTAGCATCGGGCGATACCAATATTGTTGCCGATATATCGTGCATCCCTAACAATTTTATGTATGCTGTCATGAAAATGTGCCTGTTTCTCTTGCTTATTGCACGTGATAATTTTCCTATCACAGGCTCCCTAGATGATCAACGCACGCCTCTTATTTTTACTCCATTTAATTCATTCCCTCTAACACCAGAGACTTGTCCATTCCTTCTGTTTTTAGTCCACCTGCTGCCTTTTGGCATTTTTTTTAATGATGCAGTTAGTCATCTGAAAGTATAAGTGTCGTTGTACACGACGCTTGCACAGACTATCATTATTGAATGTGAGACGTTAATATTTTCTTTTGTTTGTTTGCATTGTGCAACTGTTTAATGGACAGTTTTGAAACTAGGATTTGTGGTTTTAATTCAGCAGCGACTCGAGTAATAAAGATAGCTGTCAATTACTTTTTCATCCATCACATTTCAATACGATTCGCCTTTTATCTCTTCCTGTTTATAATTTTTCACTTTTTCATATTGATCTTTCCCTCTGTTCCTGTCCGCATTCGTCATCATTTGACAGCTGATTATCGGAGGAAAAAAACATGATTTATTCTCTTTAATAGATAGTTCTGGTTTGAGAGGATGAGCTCCACCTACTAGGTCCCTGCCTGTTTTATCTTCTATTCTCTTCATATTGCTGTAGAGCATCATTTTCTCGAACTCCTTCATTTTGTTTCTATTCCCTGATTGTTTTCCGCCTGGCCTTGCTTTAGACAAAAAATATATATTTTGTTTTTTTCCTGCTTTGCTCCTTTTCCCTGCATTTTCCTGTCAGTCAGCCTGATAGCTGGCGACGGCCATGTTGTATATCTCAAACAGAATCGAACGCCATTACTGTTTCAGCGTGTAGAACCACCTACCCCGTCTCAGGACGGGGGTCCGGGACTTAACAACACCCTGCCTCCACCTGAAACGATGGACACCGAAAACAGCTTGTGAGTCCCACTGTGTTTCTTATGCTGTCTGGTTTGAATAAAGAACAAAAACAGGAAGGTGTGTTTGTGCACTGCAGGCCAGTGGAGGGCAGGATCCCAGAAAGCCAGTCATGGGTGACGGCTCGTGCCAAGGAGATGTCCCAGAAGGTTGGCAGCTGGAGCCCTGATGGCCACTCCCTTGAAGGCCTGGGAGTCATGTCCAACTCTCAGGTAGACGGCTCATAAACACAAAGGGTTATGTCAGTGTGTTCAGGAAAAATGTGTGTATTTTCACACTCCGCAATTTCCTGAAGAACAACCAATAGCAACAAAAAAACACTTTATTCTCAAGCTTGCGTCTTCATTTTCATCTTGGCAACCTTCCTGTTCACTACCAGTGGAGTAAATAACAAAAATGAAGTCAAAGTAAATAAATTCACAACCTGCTGTTCACTTTCACTTGTGCCTTTTTCATGTTTGTCTTCTGCATTTCAGTCCAATCAGCATTCCTGTCTAGTCTTTTATTAAACCAATGCAAACTTGGCATAAAATTAAGAAATTCACAGCTCATCTCATACCATCCTTTTCCAGTAGATGGATCACATTTCCTCTAGTCTTTCTGTGTGCTTTTAACAGGTAGCAATTAGCCTTATCTCTTAAAGACCAAGTTCACTTGTTTTTTTTTTTCAACACATCTGCAGTGGTCGCTAGTATAAATGAACATCGATCTCTCTAGGGAAAAGCTCTGGCACTCTTGTTTCAGGAAGTAGAAGAGCGTCAGAGCAGAGGTGAGCTGAACACGGCAGGAAATGGTCTTCTTAGGTGTGTTCTTGCTGTGTTGTATCTCTAATTCCATGCTGTAGTTCTTTTTTAAAACAAACGAAATGTAGCGGGAAAACAGGTAAACAAAACTGCTCTGTGTTTTAAAAAAGAACTACAGCATGGAATTAGGAAATGGTCTTGTTTCCTGATATTTGGACATCTGATTAGCTAACATCAACACAACTCTACCACTCTGCAGCTTTGATGTTTTATCTCCACAAATAACACAAGCCTGAAGCAGATCTATTATTTTGTGGAGTTGCTATTGCTGCTCTTTTCTGGATGCTAAACCAACAACAGCCTTCCCTGTCAAGAGCGAAGATGGGTGAGTGCATGAATGATGATTTTTAGTGTGACTTAGATGTGGCTGGCTTTTCGAATCTGGGCATTTCCTTGTCTGTTTTCTACCAGAAGCTAATGCAGGAAATACGGGTGAAAGACAATTTTCATGTTTAGCCTGCGTGTTAAACTCGGAGTGGCTGATCATATTTCAAAATTAAGAAGTAAAAAATGGTTTATCTGTGAACTTGGTCTTTAAAGTTGACTATTTTTTTTATTTATCTTGCTAATCTCTCCCTGAACTCCACTTCTGTCTTGAAAGTGACTCATATCCACGTATTTGTACCGTCAGACCAATCAGCCGTTCCCGTTTTTAGCTTCAAGACAGAGATCTGACAGCTTTAATCTAACACTTCTACTAAGAAGACAAGACTAATCTAACATTTGGGTATATCCATCCATCCATTTTCATCTGCTTACCCGGAGTCGGATCGCGGGGGCAGTAGCCTAAGGCGAGAAGCCCAGACTTCCCTCTCCCCAGCCACTTGGGCCAGCTCCTCCGGGGGAATCCCAAGGCGTTCCCTGGCCAGGTGAGAGACATAGTCCCACCGTGTCCTGGGTCTACCTTTAGTTCTCCTCCCGGTTGGATGTGCCCGGAAAACCTCACCAGGGAGGCGTCCAGGAGGCATCCTGACCAGATGCTCGAGCCACCTCAACTGGCTCCTCTCAATGTGGAGGAGTAGCAGGTCTACTCCGAGCCCCTCCCAAATGACCGAGCTTCTGACCCTATCTCTAAGGGAGAGCCCAGCCACTCTTCGGAGAAAACTCATTTCGGCCGCTTGTATCCGCGATCTCGTTCTTTCGGTTACTACCCAAAGCTCGTGACCATAGGTGAGAGTAGGAACGTAGATCAACCGGTAAATCGAGAGCTTTGCCTTCTAACTCAGCTCTCTCTTCACCACGACAGACCGGTACAACGCCCACATCACTGTAGATGCAGCACCAATCCGCCTATTGATCTCACGCTCCAGTTTTCCCTCACTCATGAACAAGACCCCGAGATACTTAAACTCCTCCACTTGGAGCAGGACCTCATCCCTGACCTGGAGAAGGCAGTCTACCCTTTTCCGAATCAAGACCATGGTCTCAGATTCAGAGGAGCTGATTCTCATCCCAGCTGCTTCACACTCGGCTGCGAACCGCTCCAGCGAAAGCTGAAGATCATGCTTTGATGAATCCAACAGGACCACATCATCTGCAAAAAGCAGAGACCTGATCCTCAGGCCACCAAAACGGATGCCCTCCACACCTTGGCTGCGCCTAGAAATCCTGTCCATAAAGGTGTTGAACAGAATTGGTGACAAAGGGCAGCCTTGGCGGAGTCCAACTCTCACTGGGAACGAGCCTGACTTACTGCCGGGAATGCAGACCAAGCTATGACACCGGTCATACAGGGACCTAACAGCCTGTATCAGAGGGCCTGTTACCCCATACTCCCGGAGTACCCCCCACAGGGCCCCCTGAGGGACGCGGTCAAACGCCTTCTCCAAATCCACAAAACACATGTAGACTGGTTGGGCAAATTCCCACACACCCTCCAGGATCCCCCTAAGGGTATAGAGCTGGTCCAGTGTTCCACGGCCAGGACGAAAACCACATTGCTCTTCCTGAATCTGAGGTTGAACAATCCGACGGACCCTCCTCTCCAGAACCCCTGAATAGAGCTTACCAGGAAGGCTCAGGAGTGTGATCCCCCTGTAGTTGGAACACACCCTGCAGTCCCCCTTTTTAAACAAGGGGACCACCACCCCGGTCTGCCTGTCCAGTGGGACTTCCCCCGATCTTCACGCGATATTGCAGAGCTGCGTCAGCCAACACAGCCCCACAACATCCAGAGCCTTAAGGAACTCTGGGTGGATCTCATCCACCCCTGGAGCCTTGCCACAGAGGAGCTTTTTAACCACCTCTGTGACCTCAGCACCAGAGATTTGAGAGGCCAGCCCAAAGTCCCGAGAATCTACTTCCTCACTGGAAGAAGTGTCGGTGGGATTGAGGAGGTCTTCGAAGTATTCTGCCCACCGATCCACAACGTCCTGAGTAGAGGTCAGCAGCACACCGTCCCCACCATAGATAATGTTGGTAGCACACTGCTTTCCCCTCCTGGCGCGCCGGATGGTGGACCAGAATCTCCTCAAAGCCGTACGTAAGTTTTGCTCCATAGTCTCATCAAACTCCTCCCATGCTCATGTTTTTGCCTTGGCGACTACCCGAGCCGCGTTCCGCTTGGACTGCTAGTACCCGTCAGCTGCCTCTGGAGTCCCAAAGGCCAAAAGACCTGATGGGACTCTTTCTTCAGCTTGACAGCATCCCTAACCGCCGGTGTCCACCAGCGGGTTTGGGGGTTGCCTCCACGATAGGCATCGACAATCCTGCGACCACAGCTCCGGTCGGCCGCCTCAACAATGGAGGAATGGAACAGGGTCCATTCAGGCTCAATGGCCCCCGCCTCTCCCAGGACTCTGCCAGACGTTCCCAGCAGACAATTGCAATACGTTTGGGCCTGCCTGGTCTGACTGGCATCCTCCACCAGTTAGTGGTCAGTTGGCAGCTCCGCCCCTCTCTTCACCCGAGTGTCCAAGACATGCGGCCGCAGTTCAGATGAAACGACAACATATTCGATCATCGAGCTGTGGCCTAAAGTATCCAGGTGCCAAGAGCACATATGGACACCTTTATGTCTGAACATGGTGTTCATTATGGACAATCCATGACTGGCATAGAAGTCCAATAACAAAACAAAACTCGAATTCAGATCGGGGAGCCGTTCCTCCCAACCACACCTCTCTAGATCTTACTGTCGTTGCCCACGTGAGCGTTAAACTCCCCCAGCAGAACGAGGGAGTCACCAGAAGGAGTGCTTTCCAGCACCCCCTCCAAGGTCTCCAAAATGGGTGGGTAGTCTGAACTGTAGTTTGGTGCATAAGCACAGACCACAGTTAGAACCCATCCCCCCACACATAGGTGGAGGGAGGCTACCCTCTCATTCACTGGGGTAAACCCCAACCTACAGGCACCAAGATGGGGGGCAACTAGTATGCCCACCCCTGCTTGGCGCCTCTCAGTGGGAGCAACTCCAGAGTGGTAGAAAGTCCAACCCCTCTCAAGGAAACTGGTTCCAGAGCCAGAGCCATGCGTTGAGGTGAGTCCGACTATATCTAGTTGGAACCTCTCAACCTCACACACCAACTCAGGCTCCTTCCCCACCTGAGAGGTGACATTCCATGTGCCAAGAGCCAGCTTCTGTAGCCGAGGATAAGACCACCAAGGTTCCCGCCCTCGACTACCACCCGTCACACACTGCACCCAACCCCTTCGGCCCCTCCCAAGAGTGATGAGCCCATGGGAAGGGGTCCCACGTTTCCTCTTCGGGCTGTGCCCGGCCGGGCTCCATGGGTGAAAGCCCGGCCACCAGGCGCTTGCCATCGTGCCCCACCTCCAGTCCTTGCTCCAGAGGAGGGCTCGGGGGGGGGGGGGGGGGGGGGGGGCATGGTTTCCATTTATATAATTCATCATAAGAGGTCTTTGGGCTACTCTTTGTCTGATCCCTTACCTAAGACCTCTTTGCCATGGGTGACCCTACCAAAGGTAGAAAGCCTCAGACAACTTAGCTCCTAGGATCATTGAGACACTCAAACACCTCCACCACGGTAAGGTGGCAGCCTAATGAGAGGGGTACATTTGGGTATACTCCAAACAAATTCCAGCAGTTTTAAATAATAAAAAAGCATGGTGGTGTCATAAATAGGAAGCTACCTTTGCTGCCTGGATTATATAAACAGAACCCAGTCATAGGGCGAAATCTACGATTATCTTTCAAATGGTTTCCGCATATCGGACAATGAACGTGATCACTATGGATATCAGTCATCATGGCAGTTCATTATCCATTATAGAGGAAGACGCAAATACATAAGTTTTGTAACAAAAGGACTTAAGTAGCTTTATTTGCTCTTGACTCAAAGTCAAGCCCATTTCTAAATAGTCCAAAGTTGGTGCCAAAGCCATTTCAAATGAGTCGTCGCAATCTTGGTTTTTTCGCTCAGTCGCTGTAACATGCCCACCAAACCAATAGAGCACTATGATTGGAAGAACACAAAGATGCTTGAACCAGTGCTGAACCTGCTGAGGTTCTAGTGGAGCGTGGCTAGACCAACGTGCAGTGCAAAGTCATTTTGTTTCAGCTACTGTCTTTCTAGATTTCTAAGCTACATTGTTATTGCACCAGACTAGAGGTAAACTGATTGATCATTCAGAAAGTTGATGATCTAGGTGGATATTTCCTGTTAAAAAATAAATAAAATGTATTAATTGGTCCCTGCTGAGCATATTTAGCTAACTGAAACGTAGGTACATTTTTGAGCATGTTCGTCAACGCATTTCTCCAAAGCAGACTCTTAAAAGTGAGGAACACTGAAAAATCTTTTAAATCTTATTCCTGATCATAATTGGCCATTCTGGGTATTTCATGCAGGGGGTCCCCATAATGTTGTCTGTTCTGATGGAAAATAGATGATGAAACGCTAGGATTTCAAAAGCCTGACAGATCTACGTCACACTGTAACTTAACATTCACGGACTCACCCATCTTGATTATAACGGAGAAGACGCTGCTCTTTCCTGGATGCTAAGACATAGAGAACATCTTGGCTTGTAGAAGCTAACCGTTAAAATTAGCAACTCTACCACACAACAGAACTCCTCCAGGCTTGTGTATTTGTGGAGATAAAACATCAATGTTGCAAGCTACTGGTAGAGTCGCGGTGGTGTTATCAAATTTAAGGCATTCAAATCCTGCCGTCGAAGCTTAACTCTGATGTGGCACACTTCTAGTTCCTGTAAATGGTGCACTGGTGTTTTTTTGTTTGTTTTTTCCCCCAAAGTATGACTTACAAGGCATTCATTCCTACTGGAAACCACTGCAAATGTATTGATAAAATTAACGTTCCACACTTTAAGGAGCAAGTCACCCCCAAATTTACTTTTTTTTTTGTTGCTGATAAACTATTTAAACAATTGTCTAATTGTGCTGCAGACACGTGTAGTCAATAATTTGGCACTTCTGTGCATCTTAGTTAAAATTTAAATATTCAGCCTAAAACTGTCAGTGTTGCGCTGTCGTCAGGTAAAAACTATGCACTGTATTTTAATTTAAATCTGCCACCGCTATTGGCTAAGAGGTATGCTATGATGTTAACTGGTACATTATGATGTCACAATGTTGTTGTGAGCCTGTGTGTGTATTTGTTAGCTGCTCTGCTGTGTCGGTCTGCCAGGCAACAGCATTTGTTGCATTTTTCAAACATGAAGTGGGAGTGGAAAGACTCTGGTAGGGGGTGACTTGCTCTTTAAAGAAATTTGACTGAATTGTTATGCTGCCCTATAAAAGAACAGGAAAGGGGGACAATAAACGCTTTAGGGAATCATTAGAAGTATTGTTTTTTGAGAAAATATGAATAATTTTATTCTTGAAACTGCAACCACAGCAAGCTTTTTAAAAAATTGTAGCACATGTAAGAAAATTTAGTGGTTGGTTTCAATAAATCTCAGACAGGAACAGTTTTTGCAGTATGAATATTAAACTTTTGATGTTCATGCAAACATAATGGCTTTGTAATTCAGTCATCGCCTACCTAAAAAGCTATTTAAAAAATGCATTGGTCATTAAAAAATCTTACAGTTCTTGGACTGAACATTTTTTTTTCTTTTGATATTTTCATGCAGAAACATTCAAGCTCTTTTTAATGAAGATAACATCCTTCAACAAATTAGAATCTCCCTCAGTTTCTCTTTGCTTGCAGCTCATTTTATAATGATTTATAATAATTTAAAATAAAAAAGAGCTTTGTTTGGAGTTTACATCCAGTACATAAAATAGCTTAAAAAGAATTCACAATGGATGAACTTAAAGTGACAGTGTGTATTTTCCCTGGCAATAGGGGGCAGTACATACATAAATCATTGCAAGCAAGCAGTATTTTTGTGCTTGAGTAAGACCTTACCAATGGATGCCCATTAGGGTCAACAATCCCTGGGAGCGCACCCTTCAGCAAATTGACAAGCGCATCAGACTTTCTTTCATCTCTGGCAACGAGTGAAGAGGTAAATGTGTAAAACAACAACAGTTATGAACCATTTGTTACAAATTAGGAAATGCATTTTGTCCTCTTGTGCTCCTGTAAATGGAAACACGGAGTTGCCCAGAGACTTAGACCCGATTGCATGTATATTATACCTTCTTTTTATGGCTACATATTATGAAGCCGCCAATATTTTTCAACAACTGGGCATCATTTCATTCATTTTCAACAACATTTTGATGGATATTTCCAAAGACTAACAGTAAAAACTACACATTGTCCCTTTAATAGGTGCTCACTCTTTACATGACAAAGTTGTCCACATGTCCCCTCCTTGTCAGTGCTCATGACAGCCAGTCAAACCATCTCCTGCTCTCCTGCTCTGTTTGCAGACGGTAGAGATGAAGGAGATGGGGCAGGATGGTAACACGGATACTGAGCACTTTCCACCAATGGAAGGCCACGGCAGGGCCGCTTCCATGCCTCGCCTACCAGGCGACAACCAAGTGAGCAGCATTATCATCTCTCCAGTGCCTTTGTGTTTCCCCTTCCGTGTCTGTGCTTTGTCTCGTTCTGTTCCATGTTGTCATATTTTGAAAGTCTGATTTGTTGCTACGGTTACTTGAGCTGAGATTGCAGACAGTTAAAGGTGGCCATTGACAAATTACTGTTACTTGTTTCCATTCTGCATTAAGATTTAAGTTTACAATAAAAGAAAAAACAGTGCACATGGCTACCTGTCACGACAATCTCATCCTAGCATGGCTACATTTCTGGCTGAAACATGAATATGTTTTGTCAACATGTGGCTTCTAAGCTAGGATTGCAGCTAGCAAAGTCAGACCCTCTGTTCAGTTTTTTTTTCTTGTTTCTACAGATTCTTTTTACAGTGCATCAGGTTCATTGTAGGTTAAAAATAAACAAAAATTCTGAGATAAATCCTTGAAATAAAATTCATGTTACAAGTACATCTGATTTTAAAAAGTCTTAAAATAAAAATTCATAATTAAAGTCATATATTTATGAGAACAACCAAACACCCACATTTCAAGAGGAAACAAGATAGCGCTAAACACCAGATGCTGTTTTCTAGGTCCAAACATCTTTTGGTGTTCGTGAATTCAAATGGTGATTTTCTTTTTGGGACTCTGGTAATTAAAGTGGAAGCAGCCGGCTGTTTCTCCTTCTCTGATGTTATTGAGCTGAGAACCTCTCACACCAGTAGTGTTCTGTTGCTAAATACTGTTGTAATGAATGTATTTATGTTGTAATTACTGTTGTGTAATGAATGGAGGACCCAGGGAAGTGCAGCAGTTTGGGAAATACATTAAAATTATTTTAGAAAATAATTTTTAAAAAGGCGTAACATTTGAAAAAAGAACCACTTCAATAATTTTTCCAGGTTTTTTATCTTAACAATATTTTTATAGCGATGTTATGTTAGAACGTTGTTATGAAACAAAGATTTTAATATAGTTTAACTTCCCAATTTACCATCGCGGCTTTGTCGTAAAATTCACAATGAAAAAACGACTTGTTGAAAAAACAAAAATTAAAGAAAAGACTTATTTGAGAAAAACTGTAAATATATGTTGTTCTTTGTCAAAGTAAGCATCAGTCAAACTTCAGGCATTAATCATATCTATTTAGATTTTAGTAATGTGTAAATTATTGAATTTACTGTATTAGAAAATATAGTTTTGTGGCTTTCTCACATCAGAGATTTGGCTTTTTTTGGAAACGTAGGATATTCTCAGAATATTGTAATATTGTTTGTCCCATCCCTCAGGTCTGTTTATTCTTAATCTACAAGGAATACGGCCCTGTGTATCCTTTCCCCTGCATGAATGATTTTACCTGCGATTGTTTTGTTTTCCATCTCACACGTTCATCCATCTTACATTGTTTCACATCTCGGTGAGTGCTCTGGTTGTCATTAACACACAAAGCCTTTATAAACACCTACACCGATCTCTGCCTCACACTTTATTTAATTTCTCCTTTTGTCGGGACCCTGGTGGATTTATTTGTGATTTTACTCAAATGTTTCTTCCTTCCAGTCAAAGGTTTCTGCTATTCTGAGGGCTTTCTCTAAATAAGAAATTGAGAGCATCTATGATGCCAAATGCCACAGACGTGTGCTTGTCTGTGTGTGTGAGAATGTGTGTGTACTTAGCAGTTATTTTCGGTAATCTCAATGTTGTCTCATGCTAGTCCTGTCAGTCTGCTGCCTTTTTAAAATCACTGTTCAGTGTCCCAGCATCATCGTGCCTGTTGTTGATTTATGTTTTGTGCTGTCTATGAAATATCCAAAGCACATATTTGAACCTGAACTTCTACAAATCGGAGTCAACAGTTATATTTGTGTTTAGTTGAACAGTTATGTGCTTTAGTTATTTGTTTTAGCATGTCTGTGAGGTGCAGTTGTGATGCTCACTACCCTTGTTTTCTTTTTGTGGTGTTTCTTTTCACCATCACAACTGCTTTGGTTTCTAATCAGACCTTCCTCTGTCCCTTCTCCTTTCCTTGTCCCTCTGTACGCTCTTCATCGTCCATCTTTGATTGCTTTCCAACTAACATTCCATATCTTTTACTTCCTCCTCCGTCTTCTTTTCCCGCCTTGGTTTTATGTCTTTGCTCCACGTGTACCTCTTGTGTGTGTGTGTGTGTGTGTGTGTGTGTGTGTGTGTGTGTGTGTGTGTGTGTGTGTGTGTGTGTGTGTGTGTGTGTGTGTGTGTGTGTGTGTGTGTGTGTGTGTGTGTGTGTGTGTGTGTGTGTGTGTGTCTGTCTTTGTGCTCATACAGCAGCGGAGGAAAGGGAAGCACCGTGGCAATAACCTCAGTGTATGTACCCTGTCTTGTCTTCTCTCCCTCTCTCTTATTTATACCCTATCATTTCAACATTTTATTTTTTCTCATATGTGCTGTCTTTAATGTTATATCAGTTGAGAAAATGTTTCAGAAATTGGGCTTTTTCAGCATGAAACCATTTCCCAGCTCAGCTTCCAAACTGTTGTCAGTATTTAACAGTACTGGTAAGTTTGGACATGGGTTGACCTCTGCTTGTCCCCTCTCATTACCAAAAAATTTGTCTCCAGACTTTATGACCCTCTGTCTCTCTTCGCTCAGCTGCTGCTGCCAGTGTTTTGTTGCTGTCTGCCCTCATGCCTGTGTGCTAACCTTTAATGATATCAACAGTCCCCATATGTGTCCAAGTCCCCACTCAGTTGCTCAAATGTGCATGTAAGATGTTTGTTGAAGAATGGCTGTGTGGGAGAGGAAGAATTTGATGGAAAGTGGATGGATTTGGGGAAATGTGTATGCTAAATGGATGTTTTAGCCATTTTGAAGTGTGTTTCCGTGTAAAAGTTATAAATAATTGCTATTTTGCCTGAATTGGACAGTTTCATGAGCCAATGGCTAGTCCAAACCGACTAGCTCTAAAATTAAATGTCCCCATGTTAAAAATAGAGCTTCAATCTCCAAAATATCACATTGGTTCATGAAATGTACTTTTACAGCCAAACTTTCCTGTTAAATGTATTGCAATCTAAAGGGTTTACAAAAAAGAAATAAATAAAAAACAAGGTATTTGTGAGATTTGAGTAATCTTAGGATTGCAGGACATTTGGATCACATTTACAAGTTAAAGCAACAAACACTACTGGCTGAAAGCAGAATTAAAACTGTCATGAACAACTCTGCCTGCTGAAGCTAGTGCTAACAGTGAGCCAAAGCTAACATGAGCTAATGCTAACATGAGCCAACTGATACTAAATTAGCCAAAAGTACAAAGATCCACAGTGTTGGGCTTTTTTTTTACTTGCAAGTCCAGCAGCAACAAAGCCAGGTCACCATCAGTCAATGATTTTATAGCCTCCTTCAGCTCCCTCAAACTAGTGTAGGTCACACCGATGTTCACTCTGATTTCAGCTCTTTGCTTTGCCTCTAAAGACCGTACTCTCCTACTTTTACTTCCACTGTAATGCCAACAAAAAAAGCAAAATTTTTCTTCTTCTTAACAGTTGTCCAACTGAAATAACTGCTAGCCTTCATAAGCTAACGGCATATTAAACAACTTTTGCCGTAAAGCAGATTGAGACATCTGCTATGTTTTGGAGTTGGTAAAAATGGTAAATGGCCTGTATTTGATATAGCACCTTCTAGATTCCTGGAACCCCCAAGGCACTTTACAACACCATCAGTCATTCACCCATTCACACCCTGGTGGTAATGAGCTACACTGTAGCCACAGCTGCCTTGGGGCGCACTGACAAGTCTGCCGAGCACAGGCGCCACCAGTCCCTCAGAACACCACCAGCAGGCAAAGAGGGTTAAGTGTCTTGCCCAAGAACACAATGACTGTGACAGACTGAACGGGGCTTGAACCTGCAACCTTCCGATTACATGGTGAGCACTTAACTCCTGTGCCACCATCACCCGAAAGTGGCTGGTAAAATTCTTTAACTTTATTAAATCAAGGATTGACAGTAACAACACGAATATTCATTCAGCAGCACTTCTCAGGGACTCACTTGGAACATTCTTCTGCACCTCTATAAATACACAAGCACTATACTGCCACCCATGTTTCAGACTACAACAACCTACCACTTAATATTGTGGCTGCACTAAGGCTCTGTTCCTAACAACGGGCTATTCACAAACATTTTACACAGTAACTCTTTACACAGAAACACATTTCAATGTAGCCAAAGTATCTTTTTAACAAATTAACATTTGAAGTTAGTGTATTTCTTTAAAATCTGGTATTTTTCTCTGTGTACATTCAGGCCATATTTCATCTTTTTTTTTTTTGTCATCTGACCCCAAAACTTGGTCAGCTCAGCTGCCAGACATTTTTAACACAGAAGTTAGATGATTTGAGTTTTGTGCCCATGTCAGAAACCTTCATAGGTTATGTCCTGCTGTCATCCCTCAGAGCTTGTGGGGTTTCAGTACTGCTGAGACAAATTCCCTTACCATTAGAAGGTTCAGGACAACCCCATGCACATGCATGTTTGTAGGACAGGACAATGGAATAGCAAACCATTTTGCAGCCTGGAATGTGCCAATGCTCAGGACATTTTGCTGAAGCTGAAAAAGTTTTGCAAGTTCTTCTGAGTTTTCAGTATTTTAATTAATTAATTAATTAATTAATTAATTAATTTATTTATTTATTTATTTATTTATTTATTTATTTATTTATTTGTGAAGTAAGTCATAGAAGCATGTAAGCATGGCTGTTTGCCAACATTTTCTTTCTTATAATTCGTGTTATTATCTTTAATCAGCGGGTGGTAGATAATGTATAGTGAGCTGTGTTTTATCAGGTATGGACACAGACGTTGGAATTTTTCATCTACTCTTGATTTATTTAGAAAGACAAGTGAACAAGCTCTGCAATGACCAGGTTTGGTTCTAAAGACACTGATTTAGATGGAGAAATCAAGAGTACACACGTAGATTCAGCTTTGTACTAAAAACTGATTTAAGGCCACATTAATAACAAAACAGTTTGTTTATTTTACCTGATGATGCACAGACCGCTCTTTCCCTCTTTCACCAGTAGCTAAACACTAGCTAATGCTAACGTTGAGTAAGCTGCAACAACAGGCGTGTTTCCACTATCTGAACTTCTGTTTAGGTTTACCTGAACTTCCTGGCATGCACATTTCTCCACTTACTCGGCCAATCAAATGAGCCATTTACAGGAACTTTCTGAGTCCTTGCACAAAGGTGGGTACTCTGAAAGGTCTGGAAAAGTAGCAGAACAGAACTTTTGGTTAACCCACTCCTATTGGTTGTAACTCAATAGGAAATTACATCAACAGATGTCATCCAAAACAATTGGTGTTTTTAAAATTAGGAGATTTGCTTGTGAAGCAGACTGGAAGCACAGGCAAATAAGCACTGCTCTTACTGCTATAAATATGTCGTTACTAAACTCCCGACACTGAAAGATGCAGGGAATTTCCCCCACTGTCAGTGCATTTACATGCAGCCAGTAACCCTTTTAAAACCCGAATATTCACAATAACCCGGTTCCGCAGGTCCATGTAAACACCGCCAAAAACCCGGATATGCTCATAACCGGGTTTTTAAAAACCCGGTTACTACACCTGGGGTAACCCTTTTCTAACCCGAATGTTTGGTCATGTAAACGCATATTGGGATATCTCCATCAAAGCGTGTGTTCTGCGCATGCTCTCTTCACAAGGAATCTTGGTATTTTGTGTAGCGAGACGTCTTGTATGCGCCAGAACACCGGAAGTAAATGACAAGTTGGGAGCAACATGGCGAGTCGCGGCACAGCACCACACTTTTGGAGTGATGAGGAAACTAAAACGCAAACAAACGCGGTCACTATCTCTTCCGAACTGGGAAACATGTTGTTGTTTTCACGGATACCGGAAGAAGAAGAACCGGAAATGACGCATATTGCGTCTGGACGTAGTCCAGACGTCCTGACGCTACCCCAACGTCCGCATTTAAATCGGGTTATGCAAGTTAGGGATAACTCTTTCTATTTATGCTTGTAAACGGGTTATTCTGATTAACTCAGAAACCCGAATACCGACCTTAACCCGATCATAACCCGGATATTGGCTGCATGTAAACGTAGTCGCAGATATAATTCACAGGGTTTTGTTGTCTCACAGAGTGCATAAAAATGGCACTTCTTCTGGGTCCATCGAACTCCACATTTTTCATCACACTTCTACAAAATAAAGCTTTTAATGTTACTGTGGATATTTTTTGGTGATGATAAGTGACATCACTGCTGAAGCATGCTGACATCTGTGCAAAGACCTGAAATGGCTGAAATTTTATGGAGATAACAGTTGAGAGATTTGGACCATCTTATCTCCCGGCCAATGTCCCACTTCCAGAAAATACCCTGAAGTTCCGACAATGGAAACGCATTTTTAAAGCAGTAATGCTGACGTAGAACAACTGTAGTCTCAATGTATAAATACATACAGTGGGGCAAAAAAGTATTTAGTCAGCCACCGACTGTGCAAGTTCTCCCACTTAAAATGATGACAGAGGTCAGTAATTTACATCATAGGTACACTTCAACTGTGAGAGACAGAATGTGAAAAAAAATCCATGAATTCACATGGCAGGATTTTTCAAGAATTTATTTGTAAATCAGGGTGGAAAATAAGTATTTGGTCACTTCAAACAAGGAAAATCTCTGGCTCTCACAGACCTGTAACGTCTTCTTTAAGAAGCTTTTCTGTCCTCCACTCGTTACCTGTATTAATGGCACCTGTTTGAACTCATTATCTGTATAAAAGACACCTGTCCACAGCCTCAAACAGTCAGACTCCAAACTCCACTATGGCCAAGACCAAAGAGCTTTCGAAGGACACCAGGACAAGAATTGTAGACCTGCACCAGACTAGGAAGAGTGAATCTACAATAGGCAAGCAGCTTGGTGTGAAAAAATCAACTGTGGCAGCAATTAAAATGGAAGACATACAAGACCACTGATAATCTCCCTCGATCTGGGGCTCCACACAAGATCTCATCCGGTGGGGTCAAAATGATCATGAGAACAGTGAGCAAGAATCCCAGAACCACATGGGGGGACCTGGTGAATGACCTGCAGAGAGCTGGGACCACAGTAACAAAGGTCACCATCAGTAACACACTACAACGGCAGGGAATCAAATCCTGCAGTGCCAGACGTGTTCCGCTGCTGAAGCCAGTGCATGTCCAGGCCCGTCTGAAGTTTGCCAGAGAGCACATGGATGATACAGCAGAGGATTGGGAGAATGTCATGTGGTCAGATGAAACAAAAGTAGAACTTTTTGGTATAAACTCAACTCGTCATGTTTGGAGGAAGAAGAATAGGAAGGAAGAGTTGCATCCCAAGAACACCATACCTACTGTGAAGCATGGGGGTGGGAACATCATGTTTTGGGGCTGTTTTTCTGCTAAGGGGACAGGACGACTGATCTGTGTTAAGGACAGAATGAATGGGGCCATGTATCGTGAGATTCTGAGCAAAAACCTCCTTCCATCAGTGAGAGCTTTGAAGATGAAACGTGGCTGCATCTTCCAACACGACAATGATCCCATACACACCGCTCGGGCAACAAAGGAGTGGCTCCGTAAGAAGCATTTGAAAGTCCTGGAGTGGCCTAGCCAGTCTCCAGACCTCAACCCCACAGAAAATCTGTGGAGGGAGTTGAAAGTCTGTGTTGCTCGGCGACAGCCCCAAAACATCACTGCTCTCGAGAAGATCTGCATGGAGGAATGGGCCAAAATACCAGCTACAGTGTGTGCAAACCTGGTAAAGACCTATAGTAATCGTTTGACCTCTGTTATTGCCAACAAAGGTTATGTTACAAAGTATTGAGTTGAATTGTTGTTATTGACCAAATACTTATTTTCCATCCTGATTTACAAATAAATTCTTTAAAAATTCTACCATGTGAATTCATGGATTTTTTTCACATTCTGTCTCTCACAGTTGAAGTGTACCTATGATATAAATTACTGACCTCTGTCATCATTTTAAGTGGGATAACTTGCACAATCGGTGGCTGACTAAATACTTTGTTGCCCCACTGTATTTTCATTCATTTTATACACAGTCAGCATATGCATATGGGTACTTTGTAACCATGACAACCATATAAAAATCATGAGGTGCAAACATACCAGTTAACAGACCAGGAAACCACACATCTAGACCCTAGTCAGACTGCTTCTCATGGTCCACTGCCCTGAGTGTTTTAGAGGTTTCCCCGTAACCAAAAACATCAGAGTTGATATGCTGAGCACTTAATTCAGTCATTTAAATTACATGTTAGTTATGGGAAGCTTCTAAAACATACAAGATGTGGGCCTTGAAAACTAGGGTTGGAGATCCATGCACAATACACTTTGGGAAGATTTAAAGTGACAGTGTGGGCAGTAGATACCTAAATAATTGCAAGTACGCAGTATTTTTTGTTGGAGTAAGACCTTACCAACGGATGCCCATTAGGGTCAAAAATCCTTGGGAGTGAAACTTCCAGCAAAATAACAAACACATCAGATTCCCCTTCATCACTTACAATGAGTGGAGAGGTAAATGTGTAAAAGAACAATGTTTATAAATGCCGAAGGTTTTGTAACCATTTGTTACAAATCAGTAAATGTATTCTGTCCTCATGCACTTCCGTAGAAGAAAACCTGGCAACCAATATGGCGTCGCCCAGAGACTTAGACCCGCTCCCATGTATTTTAGACCTACATTCTATGGTTATGAAACCGCCAATATTTTTCAACAATTACGTAACTTTTAATTCATTTACAACAACCTTTCAATGGAAATTTCCAGAGATCAATGGTAAAAAACTACACATTGTCACTTTAAAAGCAAATTTACTCCTCGACCAGGCTTTTCCACCAGACATGTTAGCAAAACGCAGCAGTTAGCCACCATTATATTGGATGGGTGCCTTTCCACTAGATGTGAAGCAATACGTTTTGGAAGCAACCCAGAAGTGTACATGTTGCTTACGTTTCAGTTCTATTTTTCTTGCACCACCTTTTCAAAATGCATCAAGCTCAGCAGTTCAGATGAGGCCAGACAGGAAGGTAAACACGAAAGCTGTGTAAAACATTCAGAAACTTTCAAAATAAGTCACAGGAAGTTACCCAGTTGCTAACTAGTACAAAAAAAGCCGCAAATCTTTTGGATATATGCTGCTGTCTTTCTCTTTATTTATATAATAGAATAGAATAGAATAGAATAGAATAGAATAGAATAGAACAGACTTTAATGATCCCACAGTGGGGAAAATGCACTTGTTACAGCAGTTCATGTGAACTGCCAAAATCCTGCATCATCTTGTAATTTTTCAGTGATTTTTCTATTCAATTTAATTGAAGTTTATTCATATTTTGTGACCTAACAGGACGGTACCACCTCCATGGAACGCTTTCACTGCTGTTTCTTGTCTTAGTAGTAACTGCATCATTGTGGGAAGGGAGCTCTCAGATAAAATGTGTCCATTACGTTTCGCACCGCTTACACATCCAGTGGAAAGCTGGGGTGAGGTCTAAATGATACATTTGTTTTTATAGTAAAGATGGTTTTGCAACAGATTTGACTTTTTGACTGACTACTGTCACCCAGACTATACTGAGTGCAACATTTGTTGGGCATGATTTTGTTGTAGAGTGCAAATTAAACATTTAGGAGATGTTTTGGAGAACATTTATTGAAATGCTTGCATAAAAGCAGACAACATCCCACACGCATGCACACAGTGTCTTATCCGATCACTCCAACAAAGTAAAACGCTGGTTGTCAAAAGAAGCGCCTCTCCCTCCATCTTTTGGTGGTTTCTTTTTCTTTTCTCAGATCATCAACGACAGCAGCCCCATGAAACGGTCCGCTTCGTCTCTGGGCCACAGCAGGTCGGGGCGGGGCCACAGAGATAAAGGAGGGGCAGATGATTACAACATGGATAATGTGATACCTGAGGAGGGCCGACCTTACAGACACGGACACCGCCGTAAAGACCGAAGTCACAGAGCTTCTGAGAGATCCCTGTGTTGCTACAACGATGACATGGGTAGGAGATTTCAACAAAATCATTTAGTTTCTCTTCATAAATGTGATGTGTGGTCATGTTTTTTATTTCTTTACCATGATCTTACCTCTATCACCAGGCTTGGACCAGCCTGGTGACAAGGACAAGGATCGAGGTCGGTCTAAAGACCGTAAGCACCACCACCATCATCACCATCACCACGGCTCTGTGGACAAAGAGCGCTACGTAGCAGAGCGAGGGGGCGAATATGGACACCGGCATTCCCGGGACCAAGAGCACGACCGGGAAAGGGATAGAGAAAGGGATCGGCGCTGGTCACGTTCACCCAGCGAGGGTCGAGAGTGCGTCACACACAGACAGGTGGGCTTCTGTGTACACATGGTATGTAAATGAAAGAGAAAATGGAGGCCCTAATATGGATTAAACATATCTGATGTGTTCTTACCGTGTTTAGTTTCTAATTCCATTTTTGGTTCTTTTTATAACACAGGAAAGGTTTTTCTTTACCTTGTTAACGTTTCGGCAAACGCTTGTCGACAAACGCAAAGTCTGCAGTTTAGCAAGGTAAATAAAAACCTTTCTTGTGTTTTAAAAGAACCAAAAATGGAATGGATTAAACATGTTCAGGTTACAGTTCAAGAGCCTTGAATTTTATGGATGTTTTTCCCTGTCATGTTTTTTTCAAACAGTATCAGCTGCATGATACAGGTTTTGAAAGCAGGGGCGTGTCCAGGGGTGGCCTGGGGTAGCACATGCCACCCTTGGAATCTGATTGGCCACTCCACTGAATTTCCTTTAAACAGACTTTTCCACAAAACGCTTGGGGTAAAACAGAAAAAGCATAACCATTGGTGCCACCCATGCACAAAGAAATGCACTACCTGGGCCACCCCATTTTAAAAGATCTGACCATGCCACTGTTTGAAAGGCCTATTGATGCTCAAAGTTCTTAAAGTGATACTCAGCTAGCACACTTCCACTCGTGATGACTAAATGGTAAAAGATTGAGATGAAAGAAGTCCTAATAATAATAATAATAATAATAATGCATTTTATTTCAGCAGCGCCTTTCTAAACACTCAAGGACACTTTACAGACAGAGATAAAATACACAACAATAAAAGATAGAACAGCATAAAGCAAACAGATTGCAGCAAAGAGAGTAATTATTGGAATGCTAGACGGAACAGGTGGGTTTTGAGTCCGGTTTTAATGAGAGTGAGGGAGTCAATGTTACGGAGGTCAGGAGGGAGTGAGTTCCAGAGCTGGGGAGCAGAGCGACTGAAGGCCCTGTGACCAGACGGAGAGGTGGGACAGAGAGGTGGATGGAGGAGGAGAACCTGAGGGAACGGGTGGAGGTTGAGGGATGAAGGAGGTCTGAGAGGTACGGGGGAGCTAGGTTATGGATGGCTTTGAATGTATATAGCAGAATTTTGAATTGGATTCTGGAAGTGACTGGGAGCCAGTGGAGCTGCTGAAGAACAGGGGTTATGTGGTGGAAGGAGGGAGTTCTGGTAATGATGCGGGCTGCCGAGTTCTGGAGTAGTTGGGGTTAATGGAGGGATTTGTGAGGAAGACCGAAGAGAAGAGAGTTGCAGTAGTCAATACGGGAAGTGATGAGGCTGTGGACAAGGATGGCGACCGAGTGAGTAGTGAGGGAAGGGCGTAGGCGGTTAATGTTGCGTAGATGGAAGTAGGCAGACCGGGTAATAATTCAGTCTTGACCAGAAAAATACACAATTATTCTCTAAAAAACTGAAGTCACAGTAGATATAATGTTTCTTGGCTTCCAACTTCAAATTAAAGACCATTGTTGTGTTCAAAGTACCAGGAATTCACCCTTTTTACATTTACATAATTGCATTACAAATATTTAATGGGCGTATGTTTGTTTAAAGCCACTCTGTTCAAATCACCAACATCTGAACAAATATGAATGAAAATGTATATTTGTCTTATCTTATCAGCTGCCTTGTCTAAATGTTCTAATTCTGCCAGAGTTCTGTGTCCCACCACTAGGGTATCGTTTTCCAAATATCTCACTTCAAAAAATTTAGACGGAATCCAGCTCATAATCAACCAGACCAAAATTTGAAAAAATCACAGTTGAACACAGATCGGCCACATTTATAGTTTGATTTTTTTTCAGCAAAGTAAAGGTGATGTGGAGTGAAGCAACACAGAAACAACAAGACTCTGGAAAACTGTTTAAAGAACTAGCGTACTGTCTTCAGTGGCGACCCCAAAATTGCTGCCTTCCTCCCAGGAAGCCCAGTGTTGATAAATCAGATTAATGTTCACTCAAACCATAAATTCATCTTATTTATTCAAGACATAAATGTTAAACCCAATATATATATATATATATATATGTATATATATATATATATATATATATATATATATATATATATATATATATACAATTAATACGTAAACAAATAATCAGAATTAAAAAAGTGTGTTTCTGCTGCTCACTATTTTAAAAAATATGTTTATATCTCCATGGTTTTTGTGAAGACAGCAGCAGGTGAATAAAACAAAAAATTTAAATTCTAAAATAAAATTTTGAAATAACATTTCAAATAACTTTAACTGTATTTTTCTAAAATGTTTGTGTTTCTCAAATTTGAATTAAGTGTTTTTGATCTTTTTTTTATATAAAAAAGAATAAAGGCGCAATTCACTGCATCACCACAGGCTCAACTCTCCCAGTTACCACAAGGACCAATTTGGTGTGCCACCGCAAAATTTTCTTTGGCCCTGTCCTGCCACCCTTACCAAAATTTTCTGGGGGTGCCCCTGACTGTCTTCCGTGACACATGGTTTGAAACTGGCCTTAATATATATATATATATATATATATATATATATATATATATATATATATATATATAATATGAAATGATGCTATACGCAAAATGTAAATATCACAAGATTTGTGGATTGATCTTTCTTCAAAAACTTAGTTTTTACTCCTTGTTGTGGAAGAATTGGATTAATCAGAAAAAAAGACCACAAAGTTATTTCACGAGACCTGTGTATGGTTGTTTTACTGCTGTTATTGCTGATCTGGAAATTCACACTTAAACCTTTTCTTTCTTCTGTCATTTTTTTGGTTTTCTTTCTTCTGCGTGACATGTTGCTTCTCTTTGTATGGTGCTGTTTGGGATTTCATCCTTTTATCCACATCTTCTCTGCTACTGTGATGCTTTTATTTTGGTCTTTTCCTCTTCCATGTACATTACAATTGGTGATTTTCTTCTTACCATTGCTATGGCTCGTTTCCTGTCTCCTCTTGCTTTTCTACTTGATCTCTTCTGTCTTTCTCTCATTCTTTCACTGTCTGTTTCATTCTCCTGTCTTTACCATCTTCTTCTTTATTCTACATGTTTCGTCCTTGAATATGTGGTTTGTTTTTTTTATTTGCTTTATTTCACTTTTTTGTAGGGCAGTAGTTCAGTCAGTGGAAGTCCTGTCCCGTCGACCTCCGGAACCAGTACTCCACGCAGAGGCCGTCGACAGTTGCCTCAGACCCCTGCTACCCCCCGGCCCCATGTAACCTACTCCCCAGTAGTCCGTAAGCCCATACCCACACCTCCTGGCGGCCCGCAGAGCAGACCTCCAGCCCCAGGCTCTCGACACTTTTCTCCAGAACCTTTCCAAGGACAGGGTCCACCTCCAGGTGGAATCCCCGCTGCCCATCATGGCCCTCCCCGCCAGGGTCATCTCCCACCACCGCGCTGGGGAGACTCGGGCAGTGGAGGTGGTTCCATTGAAGGGGATGGCTGCTTCTACAACCAGGAATTCCAGGACTATGACCCGCACCACGAACCACCTGCCTACGAGCCAAGCCCCATGCAGGGTGGAAACCCCCACCCGCATGCCCTGGCCAACCACCCACTGCCACCCCCCACACAACCGCAGCCTCATAACCCCCACCCCCTCCCTCCTCCACAGTCTCACCCCACTAACAACCCCCACTTGCAGCCCACTCGAACCTCCCCAAGGACCGTCCACCACACGTCTCCTCCCACCACTGCCCTGACTGGGCCTGTGCAGAGCCAGGTCCAGCCCGCTGCCGCCCAGCGTCGCCTACCCAATGGCTACCGATCTTCATCACCCTCCACACATCTCCATGGACCCCCACACACTGGGCCCCATAAGGTTCCCCCTCCAGCTGGGCATCCTAGGGGCTCTCGGAAGGGCCTGCATGAACCCTACGGTGAGACAGAGGAAGATGATTGGTGCTAGCCTTTGGGGTTGGGGGAGGGATGTAAGGATGAACACTGATAGTTGGATTTTTAGAAAAAATTGAAAAGCTCTGAGCCAGAGCAGTGACTGCCAAGGGATACCACAACTTTTATTTCTTGTCTGTTCATTGGTTTCCTCACCAACTCCTTCGGCGGTCCCAGGGATGTTTTACCTGGTGAAAGAATAGGTATCAAGATAAGAGAACGAAACAAGTCAGAATCCGGAGAAACAAGAAGTGAATAGACATTTCTTGCATTGTTTTTCCATCCTCTCTTGATGCCAAAAGAGACCAAGCTCATAAATTGCAGATTGTAAGGACAGCAGGAGGAATGATGGACACTACTCTTTGTGTCTTAATTTATGCCTCTGGCAATGAGCTATAGCCACTTACAAGATGTCAAGAGTTGCGACTCGATAAAAGACACTTTATAGTCAGAGACAAAGGAGCAACCTTTTATTTGTTTTTATTTTCTTGCTTTTCTTTTTCAAGGCTAACTTTTGATAAGTTGACTGCAAAGAAAAAAGGAATCCAATCCAACCCTCCCAGCCACCAGTTGAATATTGATGAGTTTTATCATCTGTGTTTTTAAATAAAATACAAAAACTGACAAATAGACACCCCCCCCCCCCCCCAAACCACCACCTGTATGAGGTGGGAGGAGCTAAGTGGGGGAGTGTTGACAAAAATCTCTGTCCAGTGTGAAAGAAAAGGTGTGTTGATGATGCTTAACACACTCCTGCCAGAGACAAAACACTTCAACCGACCTCAGTCTATAAGAAAAGAAAAAAATAAACTGCGGGGATGGATTTCAGAAACAACAAATAACTGTTTCCTGTAGTATTTCTTCTACTCCTGCAGCCGCTGTTCCCCCCTCCTCCTCCTCCTCCTCTTCTACTTCTTCAAAACATCGAAGCTTGAATCTGCTGTTGCACCCCACACAGCTTCGCTTTTCTTTTCTTTTTTAGACTTGCGAAGTTGTACACCTTATGGAATCCTGCATGAATGATACAAAAGAATACTATAGCAGAAATGAGAATCTACTGTCTCGGGAGGGAATTTTCTCCTCTGCCCTTTCTGTTGTGGTCTGTGGGGGTTTCTCTCTTTTTTATGGAAAAAAAACAACTTTCTGTTTCTCTCTTTGTGCTCTGAATGACATTCCTCTTGCTTCATTTACACAGAAAAATCAAAAGACAGAGGGCTATGGGTAAATTGGATAGTGTGTGTTTATCCGGGGGATGGGCGGGGGGGCTCGGGGACTAAACAATGACTTTTTGCTTGCTCGTCTACTGTTCGTTCTGTGCCAAATGCCTGCCACTGATACAGCTGGAATTGCACAAAATTTTTAGTGAAAGTAACTTTTTTGTAACTAAGGTAATAAAGCGAAAAAGATATAATGGGTAGCAGGGTAAAGTATGGATTTTTTTTAAAATGCGAAGACAGTTGTGACAAATCAGTAAAATCTCAAAGTCTTCCAGGGTTTGGGGTTCAAACAGAAGCATCAGAGAGGAAGAGACTAAGAGAAAGTCGCAGAAAGGAGAGAAACACTTCATCTTTGTATTCTTTCTCACTGAAGGTAATAACGGATAAACTGCTAGAATATATCTGTTTGTAGCGAGCGTGATGATTGTGAGAATGACGCGGTTATTTTCTGTCATGATCTTGTTTCATTTTCAGCTCAGGTAATCTTTTTCCAACCTTGAAGTTGACCGTAGTCATGTTGTGAGAGAATAAGCTGGGAATAAATCAAAAATATAGAAGCGTATTTTTAAGTACTTTTTTTAAGCTTTTTGGGTGACAGCCCCACAACCTACACAATCAATTAGAAGGTGGCTGGATTGCAACATATTTGGAAAATCTTCCATTGGAAGGCAATCATGACATTGCTACACCTCTTCCTTAGCCTAGAAAACTAGACAGACGGTAGCAGAAGCAAAGTGATTTTGCTTTGCGTGTGGATCTACGCTCCATTGTACCCTCAGCAGCCTTGAAGACTCTTGTGTCTTACCAATCACGGTGCTCTACTGGCTTGGAGGGCCAGTCACAGTGCTCCATCATCTTTGCTGACCTGTCCTGGTCTGCCAACGCCAGAGCTCTGGTTAAAAAGGCTCAGCAGCGGCTGCACTTTCTCCTGGTCTTGAGAAGGTGTGGCCTGGATCAGAAACTGCTGCTGGCTTTTTTTTTTTCTTTAGCAGTGTTTAGCGAACTGTCCTGTTGGCTAGCATGTGTAGCTGTGAGCACATCATATTGTTCATTGTCCAACAGCATGCGGAGACGGTTTGAAAGACAGTCGCAGGTTCTGCCTATGACGGAGCTCTGTCTATAGGTCATTGCCAAACTATATACAGAATAGCTTGCCAGGCTGCATCTTCATTCCTAGTTTCCCCACATTCCCAAGATGCTCTTCTTTGCCCTAACCACAACAGTAAGTTCTTTTCAAGATCTTTCCAAGTAAATATACAATCGCACAATGCCCCATACTCCTGCCTCAACTGACTTAGACCCTACCAGGGATGAGCTACTTGCTAAAAGGCCATGTCACAATAAAACACATTGGTAATGGTGAGATAGACTCATGACTTAGACAACAGTCCAATGCAGCCAGCCCTGCTTCAAATTTTCAATGATCAACCATGCCAACGTGTGAAAACTCTAATCTTCCACCTTGCACTGTCCTGGACCCCAATACGCTGCCACTGTGACCTTGCTATGGAAGATCTGTTCAGGTTTTAAAGCCACTGTTGGCTTGTCACACATGATCAGGAGCTCTCTGCTTTCTAAGTACAAAGATCTTACTTAGACTATCCCGGTTCTGATTGTTGCTATGGTGGTTTAATAGCAAAGAAGGCCTTATTAGTGTCTTACCAAGCAGACACTCACCACCAATAACCTGCAGGTGGCACTACAAGACAGTGGAACTCCCTACTGCAAAACTACTTGTGATTTATCAGGGTATTAGTGAAGTTAATCTCATTCTCTCACAATTTGGCCACTTCATCTGTGTTTGCTGTATTTAAACACAATGACTGGACTGCCCCTTTTGCACAGTTCAGAAGGGTTGGAGAAATGGTGTCTGGGCATGGAAATCACCAACGTCCTGTATGTGTCACTCCTTTCAATGTATACTGGTGTGTTTCAATGTGTGCCTCAAAAGTCAACACTGGTCATCAACACACACCACAGTCTACCCCAACATCACTGTTGTTTTTGAGTTGACCTGTTTTACCGGAAGGCCTATCACTTGTTGACCAGAGAATGCATTGAAAACAAACAGAAGTGAAACAAACTGCCTATTAGTGTCTTTCCAGCCTTAGTGGGATGTCACAAACAAGTCTTTTTCACACGAAAAATCTGAACGCAGCCAGGTATGTAGCACCTGGTTTTAGTGTATGTGTGAGCATGAGTGAATGTGTTTCTGACTTTGAATTACTTGTTGCTCACTTTGTTTTCTATAATTTATGTCTGGAAATCCATTTTGAAATTTAAACTATTTCTGTCAAATCATTGTAAGTCTGCAAAGATCTGTGTTTCTATATGTATGTGTGAGTGTGTGTGTGTGTGTGTGTGAGTCAACCCCCTGAATGAAACATTTAATGCCTGAACATTCTTTTTCCATCTTTGTGCAAATGCTCCAGTGCAATCCACTAACACGCTAGTAACCACACAAACTTTTCAAAAAGCAATGTAAAGTCGCTACGGGGAAGAAAAAAAAAGTATTATTTTTTTTGTTTGTTGTTTTTATTTTTTAAGTATAAATGATTTTAGAAAATGGAAAAAAAATATATATATATATAGTTCCAGAAGTGCATGTGCTATGTGCATGCCACACCGTGGGTTAAAAGTCATCTTCAGGACTTAAAAGAAAAAGCACATTAATTCAGAGGAAAAAAAAGAAATATAAATAGATAGATGTTTTTAAAAAAAACAATGTTTCAGTTTTTTCTTCTATTTTTGAAAACAAAAATTGTAAAAAAAATTTAAAAAATTATCAAAAAAGTGAAAACACTGACGAGGCTTTGGTGAGAGTCAAAGTCTTATTTCTTTCCTTCATTTCCATGGCGTTGAGGCATAACACATCAATGTTCAGGACACCACGAGAAAAAAAAACAGTTTTTACTTTAAAAAAAAAGACACAGGTCAGGAGGTGGTGTGTTGTTCTTTCTACTCGTGTGAGTGTCAGGGGTGCAGGAGCTGGCCAAATCTGTTGATGTACTTGTTCTAACTGGCTGTTGGACCTTTGATCTCTCACTCAGTGCATCTTTTTAGTTCTCTCTCTCTCTCACTCTTTCACACTCTCAGCCAGTCTCACCGCTATTTCTACCAGTGCATTTTGTAATTCCAAACAGAACTCTTCCTAAAGAATAAAAATCCAGAGAGAATGCACACAGATGTGTCTCTTGTCTTGTTTCCATTATTTATCCTCTAGTCTTGTGGTGTTGTTTTGATAGACAGGTTATGCCTTTAAGATGCATTGGCATTGGCACACAGTAAAAGTCTTAAGCCCTCCCTTTTCTTTAATATCTTCCTCCCAAGCAGACAAGTTGTATGTTCATACAGTTTTTAAAATGGTTTAAAGCTGCAGCTGGGATGAGAATCATCCATCCATCGATCCATTTTTGTTCGCTTATCTAGGGTTGGGTCGTGGGGGCAGTAGCCTAATCAGGGAGGCCCAGACTTCTTTCCTCAGCCACTTGGGCCATTTCCTGAAGCCTGCAGCACACGAGAGCAAACCGCTGTGCAAACAGCCTCGAATGACCGTTAGCTCAGCAGATACTTTGCTGTGTGCACCTAATTGTTTGAATGCTGCAAAGCATTTAAACTATAGTGATCCTGTTTCTCTTTATAGTTAATTATTCTGCTTCTATACATTTTTTGGAATTTAACTACTTCCACAATTCTTCAACAATTTACACAATTTTGGTATCAAAACGTTCAGCTCGTTCAGCTTATGCCGGCAATGACTTTTGTAATTACAATATTTTATACTTTTTGAGATATTCAGCTTTTTCTGCGATTTTTGGTCCCACTGAAATGAATGGGATTGCTCAATTTTCTGCTAAATCCCATCACTTTTTTGAACTCTTTTTAGGTTTACTTTAACTAAAGACTTCATTCAAGTTTCAACAAACTCACAAGACTTTCAGCTATTACTAGTTAAAACATCTTTTTGACATCTATTACAGTTTTTCTAAAATCACAGGTAGAAGTTGAGGTACGGCTTGAGATTTTCAGAAAAAATAACAAAAATTATAATGGGCAGAGATGGGAGCAATGACCTTCCTTTGCTCCATTTCTGGCATTGTCCTGAGAAAACCGTAAGTCCAGTTGAAATGAGACTCATGCTGGCTTGCAGCTAACGGATATACCTTCGTTTTGAGCTATAAATCATGAATGTACTCCAAACATTGTGGTTGTACGGTTCATTTCTTAGACAATAATCAAAATTAAAAACATGTTTCTTCCACTCTAAACTGAAAATTCCACTCTAACTTTTGACCTTCACATTTTCTTGAAACAACTCCAACACCCAGACCATTTGGAGTACCAAAACAAATTATAACTCAAAAAGTAGGAATTTTTGTCAGCTTTTCAGAATGGGTTTCATTTTGTTCTTAAGTGTCACATTTCTTTCTGTACAAGCCTCAGAAGGAGGAGAGACCCTGATTCTGTCTCATTGAAACCCATGTTAAAGGAACAGAAATGTTCTCCGACGATCGGCTTCAGACAGCTAAAAATGTTCTCATCATAGCTTCTAGACAATTCATGGTAGGCACATAAAAATTCACACAGATGACCATCAAAGCCTTCTGCCACTCAAGCTTTTTGAATGTTTCCAATAGATGCAGCTGTTTTTGAATGGCGATAAGACATGTCAGAGGTCTGAATTGGCATCTGAGCAGCTGAGCACTGTTAACTGCATGATTTATGAAATATTGAAACAAAAATTTCCACTAACCACATTTATAGTACACTAAGGATATTCTCAAATTCGTTAGGTTATTTTGTCCGCTTCGAAGTGATGTCTTCGGTTTTGCTGTTGGTATTACATTTTTTGTGCTACAAGCCCCAGAAGGAGGACTGTGCCAGCTTTACTCTATTTCAACCCCTTTAAAAAATAGGCACCTGTGGCTGACAGGCAGCTGAAATGTTCTCATATCTTCTAGAACATTTGTGGTAGGCACACAAGACTCCACACACATGACCACCAAAGCCTTCTGCCACTCACGCTTTTTGAATTTTTCTAATTGGTGCAGTACTTTTTGAATGGTGATGAGAAGTTTGACAGGTCCAATTTCACTTCTGAAGGACGGATTTAACGGCTTCTCTCATTAACAGGAAGGAGTACAGCTGCAGGCCGCCTATAGAGCTCCGGGAGTTGACGTCACTTCTCCCGGCATGCAACAGTTCAAATCGAAACGGCGCAATTTGGCAGGCAGAAGCCGGCAGCTGGACTATTTGTTATTGTCAGAAAACTCAATCAAACGGGAAATATGGTAGATTCCTGTTGTGCCCCAGGATGCAGAACAGACGCGGACGACATAAGGAATGAGCCATCTACAGGATTCCCCAAGATCCGGAGCGCCGCAAACGTTGGATCATTGCAATAAAACGCGTTAGTGACCGGGCTGAAATGAAGCTGTGGGATCCCGAGAGTAAAGGATTTCACTTACGCAGCGACCACTTCATATCAGGTACTTAAACCAATGTTTCCTCAACTGTGTATGGTATTTATTTTAAATGCTTTTATTACGATTCTTAGTGGGCTTCCTAAACTTATTTTGACGTGGCTTTTTCTGTCTTAGTACTCATAGCAACAAGTAAACATCACGTAAAACGTTGCCTCGTGAGTTCTGCGTGCTGCCGTTTACGTGTTTTATGATCACAGCAATTAACCGGCTAAGCTGTATTTAATTTTTAAGCAATGGTTGATCAATTGTCAGATCACACATAAAAAGCACTTTGGATTGCTATTATCTGTCTCACCGAGACAGATCTGACAGATCCTGAGACCAGGGGCGGATTTAGGACTGAAGAAGATCCGGGGCTTAAACACACGCTCACACACACGCGCGCACGCGCGCACACACGCACACACACACGTGACACACACTAGTCAACATCATATATATACAGGTGCTGGCCAGTAAATTAGAATATCATCAAAAGGTTGAAAATATTTCAGTAATTCCATTCAAAACGTGAAACTTGTACATTATATTCATGCAATGCACACAGACCAATGTATTTCCGATGTTTATTACGTTTAATTTTGATATTTATAGGTGACAACCAATGAAAACATCAAATCTGGTATCTCAAAAAATTAGAATATTCTAAAGGCCAATGAAAAAATGTTTGTTTCTCTAATGTTGGCCAACTGAAAAGAATGAACATGAAAAGAATGTGCATGTATAGCACTCAATACTTAGTCGGGGCTCCTTTTGCCTCAATAACTGCAGTAATGCGGCGTGGCATGGACTCGATCAGTCTGTGGCACTGCTCAGGTGTTATGAGAGCCCAGGTTGCTCTGATAGTCGTCTTCAGCTCCTCTGCATTGTTGGGTCTAGCGTATTGCATCCTCCGCTTCACAATACCCCATAGATTTTCTATGGGGTTAAGGTCAGGCGAGTTTGCTGGCCAATCAAGGACAGGGATACCATGGTCCTTGAACCAGGTGCTGGTGGTTTTGGCACTGTGTGCAGGTGCCAAGTCCTGTTGAAAGGTGAAGTCTGCATCCCCATAAAGTTGGTCAGCAGCAGGAAGCATGAAGTGCTCTAAAACTTCCTGGTAGACGGCTGCATTGACCCTGGACCTCAGGAAACAGAGTGGGCCAACACCGGCAGATGACATGGCACCCCACACCATCACTGACGGTGGAAACTTTACACTGGACCTCATGCAACGTGGATTCTGTGCTTCTCCGCTCTTCCTCCAGACTCTGGGTCCTTGATTTCCAAAGGAAATGCAGAACTTGCTTTCATCAGAAAACATAACTTTGGACCACTCAGCATCAGTCCAGTCCTTTTTGTCCTTGGCCCAGGCGAGACGCTTCTTGCGCTGTTTCTTGTTCAAGAGTGGCTTGACACACGGAATGCGACACCTGAATCCCATGTCTTTCATGAGTCTCCTCGTGGTGGTTCTTGAAGCGCTGACTCCAGCTGCAGTCCACTCTTTGTGGATCTCCCCCACATTTTTGAATGGGTTTGTCGTCACAATTCTCTGCAGGGTGCGGTTATCCCTAGAGCTTGTACACTTTTTTCTACCACATTTTTTCCGTCCCTTCGCCTGTCTGTTAATGTGCTTGGACACAGAGCTCTGCGAACAGCCAGCTTCTTTAGCAATCACCTTTTGTGTCTTGCCCTCCTTGTGCAAGGTGTCAATGATTGTCTTTTGGACAGCTGTTAAGTCAGAAGTCTTCCCCATGATTGTGGTGCCTTCAAAACAAGACTGAGGGACCTTTTAAAGGCCTTTGCAGGTGTTTTGAGTAAATCAGCTGATTAGAGTGGCAGCAGGTGTCTTCTATATTCAGCCTTTTCAGAATATTCTAATTTTTTGAGATACCAAATTTGGAGTTTTCATTAGTTGTCACTTATGAATATCAAATTTAAATGTAATGAACATTGGAAATACATTGGTCTGTGTGCATTGCATGAATATAATGTACAAGTTTCACGTTTTGAATGGAATTACTGAAATATTTTCAACCTTTTGATGATATTCTAATTTACTGGCCAGCACCTGTATATATATATATATATATATATATATATATATATATATATATATATATATATATATATATATATATATATATATATATATATATATATATATATATCTTGTACCACATAATGTTTAATCTGAAGCTACATATTCAGCATATTCAGGGCAGAGTATTGTTCCTGTTAGTGTTTAGTGTGAGATGATAGTAAATATTCCCTTTCTTTCTCCAACAACTTTACCTGATAGTAAGCTAACTTACTATCTGGCAAACCAGCAGCACAACAAATATTTTCAAATAAGACTCACAAACCTGAGTCAACACCAGTCTCATCAAAGCTGGGGTTCTGTCGTACTTTTGGTCTAAAAAAACGTCCTTATGTCCATCTTCACTCATGCGTTTCAGACAGAGACTGTCGAAGAAGCCAGCTGCTGAAGGGCTTCTCTTCAGTGGTGGAGGCTCAGGTAGGCTGTATACCGACTGAGTAGCCTAGTGGTAGAGTGTCCGCCCTGAGATCGGGAGATCAGGGGTTCAACTCCATACCAAGTCACACCAAAGACTTTGAGATAAATGGGACCCAATGCCTCCCTGCTTGACACTCAGCATTAAGGGGTTTGATTGGGGGGTTAAACCACCAAATAGTTCCCGAGCTATTTTGACC